CAGCCCCCTCCAGCCCCCTCCAGCCCCCTCCAGCCCCTCCAGCTCCAGCCCATCCCTTCAGCCTCCAGGTTCCTCCAGTTCCTCCAGCCCCTCCAGCCTCTCCAGCCCTACCTAAATAATTTAGTTTATGGCTTGGCTGAGTTTCCCCACAATTAAATTAATTTAAACGATTTAAACGTTTAAACGATTTAATTGGGTCCAATTAAATCGTTTAAATCCGACGCCTCAAATAAATAATTTAGTTAGACCGTAGGATTTAAACGATTTAATTGGGTCCAATTAAACCGTTTAAATCCGACGCCTCAATTAAATAATTTAATTAGACCGTAGGATTTAAACGATTTAATTGGACCCAATTAAATCGTTTAAATCGTTTAAATCGTATAAATTAATTTAATTGTGGTGGGAGGTGAGTACAGACAAGCACAGAGCCAATCAAATTATTTAAATCCGACGCCTCAATTAAATAATTTAATTAGACCGTAGGATTTAAATGATTTAATTGGTTTGGGTTTGCGATTTAACTCTTTGGCATAAAAGCTGAACCGAAAATCTTAGGGACCAGGGCTTGCGATTTGACTCCTTGCTCACCCCATAATCATAATGATATAAGACGGAAACATATAATAAAGATGACAAAAAGATGATAAACGACTACAAAAAGATGACAGAAAGATGATAAAAGATGATAAAAGATGACAAAAAGATGATAAAAGATGATAAAAGATGATAAAAGATGATAAAAGATGATAAAAGATGATAACGATAGAAGATGATTAAGATAAAATGCTTTCAAAAACAAAGTCCAAACGATGACCCGATTAAAAGATGATAAAAGATGATAAAAAGATGACAAAAAAGATGATAAAAGATTATAACAAAAAGATAACAAAAGGTGATAACGATAGAATATGATTAGGATAAAGGATGCTTTCCAAACAAGATCCAAACGATGACCCGATTAAAAGATGATAAAAGATGATAAAAATATGACAAAATGATAAAAGATTACAACAAAAAGATAACAAAAATGTGATAACGATAGAATATGATTAGGATAAAGGATGCTTTCCAAATAAGATCCAAACGATGACCCGATTAAAAGATGATAAAAGATGATAAAAATATGACAAAAATGATAAAAGATTACAACAAAAAGGTAACAAAAAGGTGATAACGATAGAATATGATTATGACAAAGGATGCTTTCCAAATAAGATCCAAACGATGACCCGATTAGAAGATGATTAAAGGTGACAAAAAGAATAAATTAATTGAATTAATTGTACAGAATTGAATTAAATTATTTAAATCCCCGGCCTCTTTAAATAATTTAAATAATTTAAACAAGTTACATGGTCGGAAATTCGGCCTCAGGCGACTCCGGCCCAGAGCCTGGACTTGGGAGCATTTAAACAATTTAAATAATTTAAATACGCGCAATAAAATTGCCTCCGGGCAAAATTTGGCCAAATCGAGCCGCGCATTCCTTATCGCGTACAAAGAGCAGCCCGACTTGGCTAAATTTTGCCCGGAGGCTGCCGGGAAAAATTTGGCCAAATCGAGCCGCGAGAGTTTATATAGTTTCGGGCCTTCAGAAAGGCGCGGCTCGATTTGGCCAAATTTTGCCCGGAGGCTGCCGGGCAAAATTTGGCCAAATCGAGCCGCGAGAGTTTATATAGTTTCGGGCCTTCAGAAAGGCGCCGCTCGATTTGGCCAAATTTTGCCGGGCAGTCTGCGGGCAAAATTTGGCCAAATCGAGCCGCGAGTCTGCGGGCTCAGAGCTTGGATTTGGAAGCATTTAAATAATTTAAATAATTCAAATAATTTAAATAATTTAATTGGGCCGAATTAAATTATTTAAATTATTTAAATCCCCCGGCCTCTTTAAATAATTTAAATAATTTAAATAATTTAAATAATTTAATTGGGCCGAGTTAAATGATTTAAATTATTTAAATCCCCCGGCCTCTTTAAATAATTTAAATAATTTAGATAATTTAAATAATTTAAGTAATTTAATTGGCCTGAATTAAATTATTTAAATTATTTAAATTATTTAAATAATTTAAATGGTCGGAAATTCGGCCTCAGGCGACTCCGGCCCGATGCCTGGATTTGGGAGCATTAAAAAAATTTAAATAATTTAAATAATTGAAATAATTTAAATAATTTAATTGGGCCGAATTAAATTATTTAAATTATTTAAATCCCCCGGCCTATTTAAATAATTTAAATGATTTAAATAATTTAAATAATTTAATTGGCCTGAATTAAATTATTTAAATTATTTAAATTATTTAAATAATTTAAATGGTCGGAAATTCGGCCTCAGGCGACTCCGGCCCGGAGCCTGGATTTGGGAGCATTTAAACAATTTAAATAATTTAAATAATTTAAATAATTTAAATAATTTAATTGGGCCGAATTAAATTATGAAAATTATTTAAATCCCCCGGCCTATTTAAATAATTTAAATAATTTAAATAATTTAAATAATTTAAATAATTTAAATAATTTAAATAATTTAAATAATTTAAATAATTTAAATAATTTAAATAATTTAAATAATTTAAATAATTTAAATAATTTAATCGGGCCGAATTAAATCATTTAAATTATTTAAATTATTTAAATTATTTAAATTATTTAAATAATTTAAATGGTCGGAAATTCGGCCTCAGGCGACTCCGGCCCGGAGCCTGGATTTGGGAGCATTTAAATAATTGAAATAAATTAAATAATTTAAATAATTTAAATAATTTAAATAATTTAAATAATTTAAATAATTTAAATAATTTAATTGGCCTGAATTACATTATTTAAATTATTTAAATTATTTAAATAATTTAAATGGTCGGAAATTCGGCCTCAGGCGACTCCGGCCCGATGCCTGGATTTGGGAGCATTTAAATCATTTAAATAATTTAAATAATTTAAATACTTTAAATAATTTAAATAATTTAAATAATTTAAATAATTTAATCGGGCCGAATTAAATCATTTAAATTATTTAAATCCCCCGGCCTATTTAAATAATTTAAATACTTTAAATAATTTAAATAATTTAAATAATTTAATTGGCCTGAATTAAATTATTTAAATTATTTAAATTATTTAAATTATTTAAATAATTTAAATGGTCGGAAATTCGGCCTCAGGCGACTCCGGCCCGGAGCCTGGATTTGGGAGCATTTAAATAATTTAAATAATTTAAATAATTTAAATAATTTAAATATTTTAATTGGGCCGAATTAAATTATTAAAATTATTTAAATCCCCCGGCCTATTTAAATAATTTAAATAATTTAAATAGTTTAAATAATTAAATTGGCCTGAATTAAATTATTTAAATTATTTAAATTATTTAAATTATTTAAATTATTTAAATAATTTAAATGGTCGGAAATTCGGCCTCAGGCGACTCCGGCCCGCAGCCTGGATTTGGGAGCATTTAAATAATTTAAATAATTTAAATAATTTAAATAATTTAAATAATTTAATTGGGCCGAATTAAATTATTTAAATTATTTAAATCCCCCGGCCTCTTTAAATAATTTAAATAAATTAAATAATTTAAATAATTTAATTGGCCTGAATTAAATTATTTAAATTATTTAAATTATTTAAATGGTCGGAAATTCGGCCTCAGGCGACTCCGGCCCGGAGCCTGGATTTGGGAGCATTTAAATAATTTAAATAATTTAAATAATTTAAATAATTTAATTGGGCCGAATTATTTAAATTATTTAAATCCCCCGGCCTCTTTAAATAATTTAAATAATTTAAATAATTTAAATAATTTAAATAATTTAAATAATTTAATTGGCCTGAATTAAATTATTTAAATTATTTAAATCCCCCTGCCTCCTTAAATAATTGAAATAATTTAAATATTTTAATTGGCCGGAATTAAATTATTTAAATTATTTAAATTATTTAAATTATTTAAATAATTTAAATGGTCGGAAATTCGGCCTCAGGCGACTCCGGCCCGCAGCCTGGATTTGGGAGCATTAAAATAATTTAAATAATTTAAATAATTTAAATAATTTAAATAATTTAATTGGGCCGAATTAAATGATTTAAATTATTTAAATCCTCCGGCCTCTTTAAATAATTTAAATAATTTAAATAATTTAAATAATTTAATTGCGCGGAATTAATTTATTTAAATTAGTTAAATCCCCCGGCCTCCTTAATCAATTTAAACAATTTAAATAATTTAATTCGCCTGAATTAAATTATTTAAATTATTTAAATCCCCGGGCCTCTTTCAACTATTTAAATAATTTAAATAATTTAATTGGTCTCAATTAAATCATTTAAATTATTTAAATCACCCGACTTATTTAAATAATTAAATGGGTTGTAGTTTTTATTTAAATTATTTAAATAATTTAAATTATTTAAATAATTATCAGTTAAATAGAAAAGAAGAGAGGTTAAATAGACCCGAAAGGTTGCTCTTTCATATATGTATATATATACATATACATGTGCTAGACACATGTGCGTGCTTCAACCCTAAACCCTAAACCCTGAACCCGAAACCCTAAACCCCAAACCCGAAACCCTACCGTAGTTGCATGGTCCTGGGGCTGCAGTCTAGGGTTCAACCTGCGCGCTTTCAATTCAAGCCCTAAGCCTGAACGCCAAACTCAAACTCGATCGGCCACACGGGTGGCAAGAAACTACCCTTGTAGGTGTAGTCTTCTTATGGTTTAGGGGCTTGGGGGTTTTGGGTTCTTAGGGTTCTCGGTTTAGGGGTTTAGGGGTTTGCGGACGCCTCTAAACCCTACAAAAACCCTCGAAGCCTTTCAGGAGGGCCCCTTGGGTGCCCCTGAAGGGTTTACGGTGTAGGGTTTTAGGGTTTAGGGTTTTAGGTTTTAGGGTTTAGGGTTTAGGGTTTTTAGTGTAGGTCGATGTATTAAGCCATGCCGCACTTTGCAAGCTTCACGGTCCTGGTTAAGGGCATGCGGTTCAGGCTGGGATGGGACATGCAAAGGCTTGCCCATCCGCTGGAGGTGTCACGTCGAGGGGGGCTTTTCCAGACAGCTAAAGCTTACAGCCCAATCCCTTCGCCCGAAATCCTGGAATCCTCAACCCAAACCCAAGCCAGGTCGTAAACCCCACATCTTGGGGTAGTTGGTCCCTTGGTTGTTATGGGGTATATAAGGGGTATATAAGGGATCATGGGCCCATAATAAGGGACTATGCAACTACCACCCTAAACCAAACCCTAAACCCTAAACCCTAAACCCTAAACCCTTAGACCAAACTTGAAACTCGCCACGTGAGCCCCTGACCAGCTCATGCTGCGTTTCAGGCAACAGCCGAGTACGACGACGAGGCTGACCTGATACAGGAGAAGCCGCGACCCGGATGTCTTCTAGGGTTTAGGGTTTAGGGTTTAGGGTTTAGGGTTTAGGGTTTAGGGTTTAGGGCATGTGCGGGTTTTGAGGCTTAGAAACAGAATTTTCAGGCTGTTTCAGGTCTTCCTCTACACCCTAAACCCCACGCTTGCGACCTAAGAGAAGAAGAGCCCTGAAGCCCTAAGCGCCCGTCTCGACAAGCTATGCCCAAAGTCTAAAATCCTAAACCCTAAGCCCTAAACCCTAAACATCCCTAAACCCTAAACTCTAAACTTTAAATCCCAAACCGAACTTTGCCTAGGAAGGCCACTTCCGCCGTGCCAGCAAACGTTGGAGGCCCTGGGCAGTTGGGAATGTTTAGGTCCGTTTAGGGCTTAGGGTTTAGGGACTCAGGGTTGCTCAAATGGAAACTCGGAACACAGGATCGTTGGACCAGAGCAGGAAGCATGACCCTAAACCCTAAACTACCACGCTAAGCCCTAAAGGACGTCACGGGAGGTTGCAATGTGGAACCAACCCTACACCTCCCAGGGTTTAGGGTCCTAAATCCTAAACCCTCAACCCTAAACCCGAAGCTGTGCGGGAGGGATGAAAAAGCCTGTTGCCCCGGTCTCCCCTAAACCCTAAACCCTAAACCCTAAACCCTAAACCCTGAACCCTGAACCCTAAACCCTAAACCCTAAACCCTAAATTCTGTTTTGAGCTACCGGCTGGCCCTTCGCAAGGCAAGATCGACGGCGCAACCCGTGCAAAGCTCCTAAAGGAGCTGGACACGCAGGACCCGGCAGCGACGACCCCACAAGAAAATCAGGGTTTAGGGTTTAGGGCTTAGGGAGAATTAGGAGTTTTGGGCTAGCACCCTAACGCCTAAACTTGGGAGTTTCCCCCTTATAGTAGCAGTCCTTAATAGGGGTTGATCCTGATTAAGGACTGTTTGGAGAAGGGGAACATCCCAAGCCTAAACCCTAACCCTAAACCCCAAACCCTAACGCCTGGTCTGCTTGACGGCTGGGAAAAGGCCGTAAACCCTAAACCCTAAACTCCTAAACCCTAAACCCTAAACTCTAACCCCTAAACCCTAAACCCTAAACCCTAAACCCGAACGTTGACCCCAAAGTCGGCACGGCTTCCAAACTCGAGGATGACGCCAAGCTGCATGCTGCACTTGCCCCTTCGGCTGGCAATGTCTAACCATAGCTCTTGCGGTGTTACAGGGTTTAGGGTTTAGGGTTTAGGGTTTAGGGACCGCCGTTCAGCTTCTAGCGTAGTTTGTCCTAGCAGTTCTTGCTCGAGCCCCAGTCAGCAGTGCTGAGTCGTGGGTTGTCCTGTGCTGCTGGGGAATAAGGGCGAGGCAGGCAGTGGTGGACCTGCTCCAAAAATAGGGTTTAGGGACCCCTAGACTGAGACCATATAAGAACCGAAAACCCCGCCCAACAACTGAAACCCCTAAGCCAAAAGGTCTAGGATGCTGGGAACTGGTGGATGTTACGGGGCAAGAAACCCCTCGTACTGTGCTACGGAGCCTGGCCATCTGAGCCGGTATATTCACATCAGGCAGAGGGGGTGTGCCTAAACCCTAAACCCTAAACCCTAAACCCTAAACCCTAAACCCTAAACCCTAAACCCTAAACCCTAAACCCTAAACCCTAAACCCTAAACCCTAAACCCTAAACCCTAAACCCTGAGATGGGGGTGCCACCGTACCTCAGGTGAAGAGCGAGGGCGCCCGGAAGCGCTTCATCGCCGAGCTCCACGCCAAGCGGAACCTCGAGCAGCTGAAGGCCCGAATCCAGAGAGGGTTTAGGGTTTAGGGTTTGGGCTTTAGGGTTTAGGGTTTAGGCAGTGAGAATCTCACTTAAAAAAAGGGTCTGAATACTTACGAGAAGTGTCGTGTCGGTTTTGGGTTCTTGGGGCAGGGGACCCGCACAAGTCCAGGTCAGGGTTCAGGGCCTGTAGGGCTAAGGGCTCTGACCCGGGGTTTAGACTTCGGAGGGAGGAGTAGGGCATGCGACTTCTGTCTGAAAAAGTTCAGGCTTGGGTTCTGTGGATAATCATTCCAACTGCCCAAGATGGCCATGAGGGTTTAGGGCGAGCCAAACCCTCAACCCTAAACCCTAAACCCTAAACCCTAAACCCTAAACCCTAAACCCTAAACCCTAAACCCTAAACCCTAAACCCTAAACTCCAAATGTTGTCAGGCTTTGGGGTCGGTCGGGTTGGGAGTTTGGGGGCGCAGAGTGCTGGAAGGCTGAAAGGAACCCTAAACCCTGAACCCTAAACCCTTTACACTAAACCCTAAACCCTGAACCCTAAACCCTAAACCCTAAACCCTAAACCCTAAACCCTAAACCCTAAACCCAAAACCCAAAACCCAAAAGCTCAGCTCTGCAGGCCTCACAGCGGCTGCAGAAGGCAGACGAAGATCGCGAAGCGCGCCTGGCAAAGTGCCCTGGTGACCAAAGCCTCCTCCTGGAGGGGGCTTCGAAACGTTTGGGGGTTTAGGGTGTAGGGTTTAGGATTTCGGGTTTAGGGTTTAGGGTCTCTTGGGCTACTGGATGGAGCCCCGATTGGTACGGGCATAGAGGGAGCTCCATCAGCATCCTTGTCACCGCCACCCCCCCCCCCCCCACACCCCAAAACGTAGACCCTACTAAGGGCTTAAACCTCTAAGCCCTCGGCCCTGTAGGCCCTACTAAAGGGCTTGGGGTTTAGGGTTTAGGGTTTAGGGTTTAGGGTTTAGGGTTTAGGGTTTAGGGTTTAGGGTTTAGGGCTACAGGGCCTGAGCCTCGAAACCCTCAGCCCTGTAGGCCTCCTGACCATGCCTTGGCCTGAGTAAACCCTAAACCCTAAACCCTAAACCCTAAACCCTAAACCCTAAACCCTAAACCCTAAGCCCTAAGCCCTAAGCCCAAAGCCCTAAGCCCTAAGCCCTAAGCCCTAAGCCCTAAGCCCTAAGCCCTAAGCCCTAAGCCCTAAACCCTAAACCCTAAACCCTAAAAACCCTAAACCCTGAGGCTGGAGCAGATCAAGAAGCAGCAGCATGCCCGCGCCGAGGCGATCCCCAAGCCCACGATGCCCAAGCTGTCTGCCCACATAGGGGTTAAGTCTTAGGGTGGAGAAGGCCCTTATTTATTGGGGGGGGGGTTTAGGGTTTAGGGTTTAGGGTTTAGAGTTGAGGGTTTAGGGTTTAGGGATGCAGGGTGCTAGGGTCTAAGTAGCGATTAGGTTTTCGGGCCCGGCGTTCACCGGGCCCCCTGGACAAAATGGATTTCGGGGCTTGTGATCAGAGTAGATCACGACATTCTTTGCCGGACCATATCATTGAAGAATGATCATGAGAGTTGCGTAGAAGCAAGAGTAGTAGTGACAAAAATACGAAGTGTAGAAGACCTTGGGGATTCGGCATTTCTTGGGAGAGGAGGCTGTTTGGATGAAGTCCCCCAGAGCCGGGGCTTCCGAGCGCTTGAGGCTTTGGTGGAGGGCTTGAGGCTCAAGGGCTGTGGGGTTTAGGGGTTTAGGGTTTAGGGCTAGGGTTTAGGGTTTAGGGCTAGGGTTTAGGGTTTAGGGGTTTAGGGTTGAGGGCTTTAGGGTTATAGTGGTTTAGGGTTTAGGGTTCAGGCTCGAGTGTGCAAAGCGGCCCTACTTGAGGTAGACCTCTAAAACCCTAAGCCCCTAAACCCTAAGCACTAAACCCCTAAATCCCTAAAACCCTAAGCCTTAAATACCCTAAAACCTAACCCTACATCCTGCACCCCAAACGTACTTTTCGAACCCCAGACACGGATCCCTTCTTACACCTAGTTGTAGAGCATTTCACCTTTAATATTTTTTTGGGGGGTACTAGAATCCCCTTATAATCCCAGGGGTTAACCTTTAGTTTTCCAAGGGTACTGGACAACTAAGTACATCCTAAACCCTGAACCCTAAACCCTAAACCCTAAACCGTAAACCCCCAGGCCCACAGGGCAGCGGAGGAGGCGAAGAAGAGCACGATGGCCCAGCTAGAGGCCGGCAAGGGAAGCTTCAGGATTTTGGTGTTCTTTGGTGGGGGGGTGTAGGGTTTAGGGTTTGGGGTTTAGGGTTTAGGGCTTAGGGTTTAGGGTTTAGGGTTTAGGGTTTAGGGCCAGGACATGATAGGCCGGATGCAAGAAGGGTTTAGGGTCCAGCCCTACACCCCCCGGAAGCCCCAGAAAGCCCCCGAAAGCCCTAAAGCCGTGACGTCACATGCCGGAGGGTTTGCAAAGTGACAGCTTCCTAAACGCAAGCCCTAAACCCTAAGCCCTAAACCCCAGAAGGACTACGGGCTTTTTTAGGGTTGTTGCTTTAGGGTTTAGGCGCCTCTCAATTAATTTTGCGCAGGACTGGGGTGTTGGTCGATCCACTTGAGCCAGGTCTAGGATTTAGGGATTAGGGTTTAGGGTTTAGGGTTTAGGGTCTAGGGTTTAGGGTTTAGTGTTTAGGGTTCAGGGTTTAGGGTTTAGGGTCTCCGCAATGTTGAGTAGATCTGGCAGAGTCCCCGAACCTCAAGGCAAGATGTTGTTCCCCTAGTCCCCGTGCGCTGCCGAAGCATCCATTGCCTACTGGACCCTAAACCCTAAACTGGACCTAACCGTAAACCCTAAACCCTGAACCCTAAACCCTAAACCCTAAACCCTAAACCCTAAACCCCACGCAGGTTCTGATGAAGCAGAAGGAGGCACAGGCCATCAGAAGGCTGATTCAGGAGAAGGACGCGCAAGACCGGGGCATGGGTCGCGAGCCGCTTGGCCCCGAAGCTCGCAACAGCCCTCGAAGGGTGAAACGCCCATAGGCCCCTAGCCCTAAACCCTAAACCCCCAAACCCTAAACCCCAAACCCTCGCCCTAAACCCTAAACCCCGAGACCCCGAAACCCCGAAACCCCGAAACCCCAAAATCCTAAATCTAAACCCTAAACCCTAAACCCTAAACCCTAAACCCCTAGCCTGAAACCCTTAACCCTGCAAGCCCTGCAAGCCTCTCTTGGCGATTCTCGGAATCTCCTGCAATCATAAGGGGAAGCAGATGTAAGGGAATGTAGGGAGCCCTCAAGGATTTTCTGGGAAGTTGGGGTGCTCGTGTTTACTAGGGCTTCGGGTTTAGGGTTTAGGGTTTAGGGTTAAGTTTAGGGTTTAGGTTTTAGGGTCTAGGGTTTAGGGTTTAGGGCTAAGCCGCGCCCAGGAAGGATGCGGCACGTCAGCGGAGGAAGATGCAGGAGTGGAGGGGGGGGGGGGGACCAGCTTGCCGCTAGGGGTTTAGGGTTTAGGGTTTAGGGTTTAGGAAGAGCAGCCAGAGGTTTGTTCTTGTCGTGGGGGGGGGGGGTACTTGGAGGTTCATGGGTACTTATAACCACAAGTATAGCTGTACTTCTAACCTGCTTTCAGGACTTAGGGGGCTTCTAAGTGCAGCTATAATTGGGGCTTATAAGTACCCCTGAACCTCCAAGTAAACCCGAAACCCTTGGCCAAAACCCTAAACCTTAAACCCTAAACCCTAGACCCTAAACCCTATTAGGATGAGATATCCTTGAGGCGGAGGGTCTTTTGGTTGTGGGACCAAAGGCCCTTCGAGTCAAGAGTTGTCGGCTCGCCGCGGCTTCTGTGTTTCAGGCCCTTTCGGGAACATCTTCACGTCATGAGTATGAGAGAATGAATGGTATGAATAGTCTAGGGTGTAGGGTTTAGGATTTAGTGTTAGTATGACTTCATGAAGAATACTTGGTTTTGGAGTACTACACTTTAATAGTTTTTTGGTTCTGGGCTCCAATTATAGCTACTTATACCTAAACAGTATATACTTTTTGTCCCAGGGCCTACTCCAAAGTAGGGAGTATGAGTAGTATGAATGAATAGTATGAATAGTATGTGTAGTATGAACACTAAGAGTCTTATGAAAATGTGATTCTGAAGTATGATTACATGACTAAGAATCCTTGTTTTCCCTCCTTAGGGCCTGGGAGAATCTTTTTCCCCAACAGCGAAGCGATGGGGTCTCCAGCCCTTGACTACTGGAGCGGGTTCCGGAGCGGGTTTTGGCGCGGGTTCCGGAGCGGGTCCGGAGCGGATTTTGGAGCGGGTTTCGGAGCAGGTTCCGGAGCGGGTTCCGGAGGCTGGCCCCTTTCCCCCCATACAGTGGCTTAGCCTGGTGGTATACAATAAGTGTAAAAGCGATGCATGCTAAGTCGCTGCTAAGTCTTCCTTGCAGACAGTATGCTAAGCTATGCAAGGTCTCTGTTCCATGGTCCGTGTGTTTTTTGTCTTTGTTAACCTTGTAATTCCCAAAAGCCCGGACGGAGGTCCGCGCTTGTTTTGTCGAGGTTTTTCATGGTCCGCGCTTGGTGCTTGGAGCTAAATTCCCGACAAAACGAGGGGTCCGCGCAGGTCCGCGCGGGATTTGTGCTGTTTCAGCCCAGCAGCGAAGACTTTGTGAACTTTTGTAATTCCCAAAAGCCTGGACACTATATTTTATAATACATGAAAGATCATGAAAGCATCGCATCCGAGGTTGAAGCATCTTTAGCCTTCTTTGCTGTTGGGGCTACAGTGGGCTTATTGAGAAACATGTCTCGGAGCGTTTCCAGAACCGGTCCTGCTGCTTGAAAGCCCGAACTCTCCAGCGCCAAACGAAACTTCCGAATGCCGGGATGCCTAAATCCTAAACCCTTGGCGGGTCCAAAAAAGGAAAACCCTAAAACCTAAACCCTAAACGCTAAACCCTAAACCCTAAACCCTAAACCCTGAACCCTGAACCCTGAAACCCTAAACCCTAAAACCGAAAACCCTAAACCCTAAACCCTAAACCCGAAACCCTAAACCCTAAACCCTAAACACCAACCCGAACCCGAAACCGTCAGTGGGGCTAAGGCTTGCAGAGAGCCCAGGACCTCCTAAAGCTGGGGAGGGGGCTCCAAAAAAGGCTCGAAAGAAGCCCGAAAGCCCCCAAAGGCCCCTGAAGGGTTTAGGGTTTAGGGTCTAGGGTCTAGGGTTTAGGGTTTAGGGTTTAGGGTTGAGGGTTGAGGGCTGAGGGCGTTGACAATGTCCTTTGCTCTTGAGGAGCGCTCCGCCGCAGAAGTGCGGGCCATCGAGGAGGAGCGGGCGCAGCAGCGACTCGCCAGACGATGACGGGATTTGTGCTTGGAGGTTCATGGTACCTATTCACCAACTTAAACTGTACTTAGGGGTTTAGGGTTTAGGGTTTGGGGTTTAGGGTTTAGGGTTTAGGGTTTAGCCCGGACGCAAAAAAGGGTCACCACTTATTGTATGCATAGGACCCTTATTCCTTCATTCCCGATTAAGAAGCAGGTGAATCAGGGGGATTAGTACTCGTCAGGGGCCCCTAAGGTCTCTTCTGTTTTTTTCCTTGAGTCCCTATGACCTATGGATGTAACCCCTAAGAGGTTCCCTGAGTATACTTTGAAAGTGGCACTTATATTGCGTTAAGAGGATCTTTAACAAGGTTCCCCAAACCCAAGGGCACATCCTTAGGTTACATGTTCGACTTCCTTGAGATAAGCAGGTAAGCCTTAAACCCTAAACCCTGGAGCGTGGACCTTTGGGGGATCAAAGGGATTCGCTGAGAAGGGCCGGGGGGGCTTGGGTGCAGTTGAGGGTGTGGTGTTTAGGGTTTAGGGTTTAGGGTTTGGGGTTTAGGGTTTAGGGTTTAGGGTTTAGGGTTTAGGGTTTGGGGTTTAGGGTTTAGGGTTTGGGGAGCCCAACAGCAGAGGGTTGAGTGTTGAGTGGCGGTTGAGGGCGTAGTGAGACTTCATCCAAAGGAACCAGGAGAAGTCTGATAGGGCTTGCGCAAGCCCTAAACCCTAAAACCTAAACCCTATAACCTAAACCCGAACACCTAAACACTAATTAACCCTAAAACCCAAACCCTAAACCCGAAACCCTAAACTCTAGAATCCGAGTCTATGTTTAAGGAAGTCTCGAGGCCTGAAGCCTTAAGCATTGGAGTTTAGGGCTCGGGTCGAAATCGCACGAAACCCAGAAGAAGTCCCTCCTGAACCCTGGGTACTCTTCTTAGACATAGGTTGCGCGGACCTCGTCCTGGCCCGAAACCCTAACCCTTAGGGTTTAGGGTTTAGGGTTTAGGGTTTTCGGGTTTCGGGTTTAGGGTTTAGGGTTTAGGGTTTAAACCTTGAACCCTACATCCTGAACATTCCTGAAGCCTGGACCTTATAACGCCTTGGCGCATGATGGGGATCCAGGCTTGCGCGGAAGCGCGACACGGAGGCCAGGGTGAGTGCACAGCTTCACTCGGTAGGTCCCTGAATACTGTACATCTACAGGTTTCCTAAACCCTCAGTGCTAAACAACCCAAGAGGATCTTGTTGAGGAATCCCTAAACCCTCTACCCTAGAAACCCTAAACCCTAAACCCGACTAAAACCCGACTAAACTCTAACTTCCGTTTCAAGAGGGTTTACGGGGTCTGGCCCGACCTGGCCTTTTGGCTGCAACCCCTCAACCCTGAACCTTAGACGCCTCTCGCCAAAACCCCCTGAGCCCCAAAACCCTTGAACACTAAACCCTGACCCTAGCCCTGAATCCCCGCATATCTTAGGGTAGTTCTGGTCCCTTAGGCTTAGTAGCTGAATGAGTACACTATACACTTTTTTGGGCTTAGTAGCTGAATGAGTACACTATACTCCCCCGTAGCACTGAAAGTGTACACTTTTTGCTTATGAACTCAGCAACTAAGAAGGGGACCCCTAAGATACCCTGTACAAGCCACTTCAGAACCCTGCGAAGGTGGCAACCCTCAGACCATAGGGTTTAAGGTTTAGGGTTTAGGGTTTAGGGTTAGGGTTTAGGGTTTAGGGATAGGCCTCAAACACCCTCAGCCGCAGGTCGAAAAACGGCAAGGGCTGATCTTGAAGAAGAACCGCCTCTCGATGCAACTGCAGGGTTCAGGGCCAAAAGCTAAAGAAGGGTTTAGGGATTTGTGAAACAGGTTTGGGCTCAAGCATGCCGTGATTCAATGGCTTAGGGCTTAGAGTGACTAGGGTTGTGTGTTTAGAGGCACGTTGAATGCTTCTTGGTAACTGTCCCTACGATCTTTCCCATCCTGCTGTCTGCAAGCCCTTCAACCCCGTTTGGAAGATAACCCTGAACCCTAAACCCTGAACCTTGAAACCCTTGACCCGACACCAAAAAACCCGAGACCCTACCCTTCGTTTTCTGGTTCAAGGTTCCCTCATAAAGTAACCAACCCGAAGAAAAGGGTACCCGTGTTGCAATATGGTTGTCGGGTTACTCCTAAACCCCCCTAAACCCTAAACCCTAAACCCTAAGCCCTAAGCCCTAAGCCCTAAGCCCTAAGCCCTAAGCCCTAAGCCCTAAGCCCTAAGCCCTAAGCCCTAAGCCCTAAGCCTCCTAAACCCTAAACCTCCTAAACCCCCCTGAGCCCCCAAAAAGGCTTTGCTGCGCCTGTCTTACATCCAGGGTGTAGGGTTTAGGGTTTAGGGTTTAGGGCCGCTTGCCAGGGCAGATAGCAGAGATTCTCCGGGACGAGAAGCTGAAAGACCGGGAGTACCAGGCTGCCCCAAGCTTCGGCTTGGCAGGGCCTTCAGTTTAGGGTTTAGGGTTTGGGGTTTCGGGTTTAGGGCTAGGGTTTAGGGTTTAGGGTTTCAGGTGTTTTCGGGTTTTTGGAGGGTTTGAGAGGCTCTTCTTCATTCATGTCGACCGAGTTTAGTCGGTGCTAGGTATGGTTTTTGGCGGGAGGTTCGGGTTTCGAAGTAAGGGCTTTTGGGGTTGAGGACCTGTTGTAGATTGAGGGCTTTGGCTTCGGGTGCTGATTTCTTGGGTTCTGTGAGTTCTGTCGGTAACCCTAAACCCTAAACCCTAAACCCTAAACCCTAAACCCTAAACCCTAAACCTAAAACCCTTGAACGCTCAGCATCAATCCCTAGCCCCGAGAGCCGCTTCGACAAATCTGCCGTAGGGTTTAGGGTTTAGGTTTAGGGTTTAGGGTTGAGGTTAGTGTTAAGGGTTTAGGGTTTAGGGTTTACGGTTTAGGGGTTTAGGGTTTAGGGTTTACGGTTTAGGTCTCTCGTAGGATCATTGCAGCAAAGGGCAGATGGTCAGTTCTCTATGCTATGGTCCCTTTGTGGGTACCCTGAATCAGAGGGGCCGTCTGAGAATAAGGACCCCAAATGGGACCATATTTTGGATAAGTTAGCAGATGCTTGGAGGTTCATGGTACTTATTAGCCAACGATAACTGTACTTATCACCCACGTATAAGCCCCTTAAGTGCCCTAGTATGGTTCTAAGTACAGCTACAAGTACAGTTATCATTGGTTAGTAAGTGCCATGAACCTCCAAGTGGTCCCAATTACAAAGGGTTCATGTCCTTCTCCGTACGGGGCGCTGTTGGCTTTGGGGCATTACCGCTTCCTTGTGCAAGAGGATGGAGTCTGAGGGGTGCCCAAAACCCTAAACCCTAAACCCTAAACCCTAAACCCTAAACCCTAAACCCTAAACCCCGAACCTTCTCTGTGAGGTGCGGCTCCGAGAGGAGAAGGACCTCATCATCGCCGACGCGCGGGCCTCGCAGTGGGCCTCTGAAGTCGGTTTGGGGTTTAGGGTTTAGGGTTTAGGGTTTAGGGTTTAGGGTTTAGGGTTTAGGGTTTAGGGTTTAGGGTTTAGGGTTTAGGGTTTAGGGAGAGCCAAGACCTCCTGGAGTTGGTTTAGGGTTTAGGGTTTGGGATTTAGGGTTTAGGGTTTAGGGTTGAGGAATTTCTGGCCTGAACATGTCCGGGCGTACCCTTCCAAGCCTGCTGCAAAAGAATTTTGGGCTTAGAGTTTAGGGTTTAGGAATCTGGGGTTTAGGATTTAGGGTTTAGGAATTTGGGTTTAGGAATTTGGGTTTAGGAATGTGCGGGCTTAGGGATTTGGGGGCTTTCGGGATTTTGGGGTTTGGGGATTTGGGGGGTTTCGGGATGTAGGGGTTTTGGGACTTGGGTGTTCAGGGCTTTGGGGTTTGGGGCTTAGAATTTTTGGGTTTTTTCTACTGATTGCTTAAGAACCCCCCAAAAAACAAAGATTTTCTTCCCTACAAGGGTAATATAGGGATTGTTTTTATAAAATTCTTTTGGGGCTCTTGAGCAAATAGTAGGTTTTTGGTTTAGGGTTCAGGCTGTTTAGAACAGCCGACTTTGCGGATTTGCTTACAGACATTCGCTGGTTGACATTCACAACTCTTGCATGCAGTCACGCGCAGTTGTCGTTCTGTACGAAGAAGTGCGGGGTTTAGGGTTTAGGGTTTAGGGTTTTAGGGTTGTAGGGTTTTAGGGTTTTAGTGTTTTAGGGTTTTAGGGTTTTAGGGTTTTAGGGTTTTAGGGTCTGAGAGTGCCGCTGAGTCTTTCCGACCAGGACATCCTAGCCCGGATGCAAAAATGGGTTTTGGCTGTAGCGGCACCTTGTTTGACGTTTTTCTTGTTGGGGGGGGGGGGGGGTCAATTTAGAAAAATAGCCATCTCATCATCAAAGCTGGTACCCTTATCTTCTTCCTTGGAGCACGGGGGCCAAGAGTTGGGTGGACAGAGCTTGTCGGGAGCATGTTTCAGAGGTCAGACCTCCTGAACACCAGGCCTCCGCGTCCCAGACATCCGGGAGTCTGCTCTGATGTCCCCCTATCCCCTAGTAGCTGAGTGAGTACTCTTTACACTTTTAGGGATACTATAATCTCTACAAACTAAACGGTGTGCACTTTTGGGGGGGCTTATGAACTCAGCAACTAAGAATCCTTGGACTCTAAGCCCGAACGCTCCCCGAAACGCCGCCAGAATACCCGAGATCTTCCGAGGTTTGGAAGAACAAGGCCCAAGTACGCGTGGCACAGGAGGAGACGGGGAATGGGAGGAGGTTGGGTGGGGTAGGGTTGAGGGTTATTAGGTTGTGGGTTCTGGTTTCGGGTACCCTAAACCCTAAACCCTAAACCCTAAACCCTAAACCCTAAACCCTAAACCCTAAACCCTAAACCCTAAACCCTAAACCCTAAACCGCAGCTTCATGCTGCACCCTACATCCCAGAAAGGGGAACCCCGAAGCTTGGACCCCGAACCCTACAGGCACAGCTCCGAAGGCGTTGTTGCTTCTGGGTTTAGGGTTTAGGGTTTGGGGTTTAGGGTTTAGGGTTTAGGGTTGAGGGGTTGAGGGTTTAGGGTTGAGCGTTTAGGGTTTAGGGTGTCCAAAGCGAGCAACACTCCTGCGATGGGTTGCGGTTGGGTACCCTACCAATGGGTTTAGGGCTTAGGGTTTGGGGGGGGTACACTGTAAAGTTCAGAGCCGACCTTCCCCCTGTTCTGAACATGGTGCCTGAAACATGTCGCTCCGGCTTCTACGTGGCCGCGTGGCACCTTGACTTTAGCCAGCATGCAAATCTTGGGAAATAACCGCCCAACGTGGCTTTGAGGGCCCACTTCCCGTCCGTGGTGATGCAGAACTTTCAGACGCAGAGAGATCCTCTCCTCTCGAGGTTCCCTTCCTGCCAGATGATGCCCACGACTCTGGCCTCAAAAGCTTCCCGCTACAGTATGTTGACAGACACTGCAAAGCAGTGATGATCCTGCCGAAGTGATGATCCCAACAGCCCTGAACCGCCAACCCCAATAGCCCTAAACCCGACTAGCCCTAAACCCTAAACCCCAATAGCCCTAAACCCGAATAGTGCCCTAAACCCTCATAGCCCTAAACCCTCCACCCCTGACCTTCTTAGACCCTCGACCCGCGCCCCCACTTCTGAGCGGAGGAGAAGGAGCGTGAGTACCTGCGCCTGGAGGTCCAGCAGCCCATGACGTGCGGTGCTAGGGTTTAGGGTTTAGGGTTTAGGGTTTAGGGTTTAGGGTTTAGGGGTCAGGGTTCAGGGTGCAGGGTTCAGGGGTTAGGGCTTATGCGGCTTCTAGGTTCAGGATTTAGGGTTTAGGGTTTGGGGTCTGCGGGTCTGGGAAGGGTGGAGGGGTCAGGGCTCAAGGTTGAGGGTTTAGGGTCAACAGTTTCGAGTGTCCAAGCGATTCAGGGTTTTGGATTCCACCCCCCAACCTCCTAAACCCCCCAACCTCCTAAACCCCCCAGCCCCAGCCCCAGCCCCAGCCCCAGCCCCAGCCCCAGCCCCAGCCCCAGGCCCGCCCCAGCCCCAGCCCCCCAGGCCCAGCCCCCCAGCCCCAGCCCAGCCCCAGCCCCCCAGCCCCAGCCCCCAGCCCCAGCCCCCCCACCCCCCAGCCCCAGCCCCCCAGCCCCCCAGCCCCACCCGAAACCCTAAACCCTAAACCTTAAACCCGAAACCCTAAAAGCCCGAAACCCGACAACTCAGGGAGCCCTTTCGTGGAGGGCTTTCGGTTCTTCGGGGTTAAAGGCAGGGCTGGATGTCGCGGAAGGGATTCATGATGGGTTTAGGGGTTGTTTAGGGTTTAGGGTTTAGGGTTTAGGGGTTCAGGGTTTCGAGTTTAGGGTTTAAAGGCTTTAGGACTTAGGGTTTTGGGGTGTAGGGGTCTATTCGGGTTTAGGGCTTACGAGTTTCTACTGGTTTAGGGGTTTACGGCCTTGGGATGCGAGAGAGTTCGGGGGACCTCTCGCTTCTCTCATTTTGTCAAGAGGGACAAGGGGAAGAGACAGAACACGGGGGTACTCCAGAGCTGAAGGGCCCTAAGCCGAGACCCTAGACTCCCTAGACCCTAAACCCTAATTAAACCCTAACCCTTCCCACCCCCCCCCCCCCCCCCCCCCCCCCCCCCCCCCCAAAAAAAAGGGAAAAAGCGCAGCTCTTCCAGACTAGGAGCTTCATGGAATTTCCTGCTGCAATTGTGGGGGAAGCGGGGAGTGGGGGGGGGGGGGGGCGGGGGGTGATTCGGGGTAAGGGCTTAGGGTTTTGCATTTTTTGGGGCGAGGTTCTTGATACTTGTGCGTGAAGTCAGATCCTGACAAGAGTTCAGGGAGGATGCTGAGCAAACCCAGGGCATAGCGCACTGCAGGCCCTGCTAAAAAAATTGGGGTTTAGGGTTAGGGTTTAGGGCTATTAGGTTGAGGGTTTAGGGTTTAGGGTTTAGGGCTATTGGGGTTTAGGGTTTGGGGTTGAGGGTCCCTAAACATTCGGCGCTCACTGCCTGCAGGAGATCCGAGAAAAGGTCAACGTCGAGAGGGAGCGGCGGCGCGCCCTAGACGAGCTCAAGCAGATCAGTGCCATCCGCCACTTTGCTTGCAAAGGAAAAAACTAAACCCTAAACTCTAAACCCTGAACCCGGAGGGATCACTAACCTTTGTTGCAGATCCGGTTGTGGTATGAGCTTGTTTTGCTGTATCGCTTGGGGGACTGGTGACATTGATCTCTCCCGAACGAACCCACCATCAATTTCCCACCCTGAATGCCTACAAGGCGATATCCCTCAGCAGCTGACATGTAGCTGATAGGGTGCTTTTTCCACTCCTCCGACCATTACCCCGCATTGCTGTGGCTAGTCGGGTGGCAAAAAAAACCCTGAACCCTGAACCCTAAACCCCTAAACCCTAAACATGAACCCCAATTAAACCTCACACCCATACAAGAGCATACATGCGAGGACATGAGGGTTGCGGAAAGGTTATCCAACGTTCATGGGCTGCTATGGGGGTTCGGATCCAAGGCTGTGGATTCAGGTTTTCCAATGCTTAAGACGTTGAATTACCCGAAACTGAAGCAGGTCGATATGCAGACTGAGGCTTTGTGGCTTTGTAGCTGCTCTATTTTCGGTCAATTTTTGCCGTACATAGCCGGGAGTACCCTCCCTCCCTCCCCTTCTCCTGCGGGTTAAGTGGGGGACGGGCCCCAAGCGCAGGAAAGCACGCGGAGGAGGAGAAAGAAGTCACCGTGAAGAGGCGAGAGAAGATGCGCAAGGACTGCTCACGTTGGTTATAGGGTTTAGGGTTTTGGGGTTAAAGGGGGGGGGGGTATGTAACTCCAGCAGATAACTCCCTTAGGCTCCCTAAGCTTCCCGAGGCACCCTAAACCCTTACCCCCCCATGAACCCCCTTTTCCTCATGTCAAGGACCCTATGCGTTGGGGATGGGTCTCAGACTTCCGGCTGGCCTCATATCAACGGGCTGGTTTGGTTACCAAAATCCCGAAATCCTCAAACCTCAACCATCAACCCTCAACCCTCAACCCTTTGGGATGCAGCGGCAGAAACCCTAAACCCTAAACCCTAAGCCCTAAACCGTAACCCCTAAACCCTAAACCCTAAACCCTAAACCCTAAACCCTAAACCCTAAACCCTAAACCCTAAACCCTAAACCCTAAACCCTAAACCCTAAACCCTAAACCCTAAACCCTAAACCCTAAACCCTACAGGAGCCGTGGGGGTCCAGATCTGTGGGGGGGCTTCGGAGGGGCCAGCAGCCGAAGAAGTCGAACCTTGAACCCTTAGGTCAAAATTCGAGTGAGAGAGCTGCTGCACCAAAACCCATCCTCCAGGAATGCCTAAATCCGAAACCCGAAGCCCGAAGCCCGAACCCCTAAGCCCGAAGCCCTAAACCCTAAGCCCTAAACCCTAAACCCTAAACCCTAAACCCTAAAACTCTAAACCCTAAACCCTAAACCCTAAACCGTAAACCCTAAACCCTAAACCCAGACCAAAAACCCATCCTCCAGGAATACCTCCTTCAGCTGAAGGTCGAAGCCAGCAACAGGCCAGCTCCAAGTCGGGGGTTTTGAGGATTTAAGGTTTAGGGTTTAGGGTTTACCGTTTAGGGTTTAGGGTATTTGGAGAGTGCAGCCTGGAGGTTAGGGTCTGTATGAGATCTAGGGTGTTCGGGTTTACGAGCTCGGCCCTTGGATTTGTTTTTCAAGTTTTCCCTGATTGGGTGTAAGAGGGAACCCTAAACCCTAAACCCTAAACCCCAAACCCTAAACCCTAAACTATAAACCCGAAACCCTAAACCCTAAACTATTCAGACATTTTTAAGAGGGTTCTAAAGGCCAACCTCGTTTTGGAGCTCAAGCAGAAAGCCTGCTGCACAAGGTTCTAGGTCCCTTAAAGGGAATTTTCACGGTCCCTTAATATGGTCCCTTACTTTCTTTCAAGGGTTCTGAGGCATGGGCCCTTGTGTCTAAAAGAGTATATAAGGGGCATAGAAGCCTTATACCCCTGATACCCTATAAACCCCGAACGCCCTAGATCCAGAGACCATGCAACCAACCTAAAGAACTTAGACCCGGGGATGAAAGTCAACGCGAAGGCACCTCCCAAAAATTCTTCTGAAGCGCCCCAAAAGCCCTGCGGAATTAGGCTTCAGCCCTGAATGAGAGTGTAGTGTTTTAGGGTTTTGGGGTTGAGGGCAGGTGCGCAGGTTCAAAAAGGGTTCACTGCCTTTTGAGCCCTACAAGTCTAAGAAACCCACAGCAAGCCCCAAATCATAGAACCCCATATCCTGAACCCTACACTCGATTGTTCCTAAAGCAGGGGTTATAACTAGGGTATCTATGGTGATATCCATATCTTTCAAGTAGAGACCTAAACACTCACCCAGAGCTTTTTCGGGGATCAGGGCTCTCTTATACGCCCCTTTAAACCATAAAGGGCACCCTTGTCCTTCCTAGGTTACTCTTGGGTCTCGAACTCGCATGACATCATAGAACCTTCAACAGAGGCCCCTAGGACTCCAAAAGCTTTAAGCCTAAACCCCAAATGAACCCTTAAAACCCTCTGCACCCCAAAACCCTATACACCCGAAACCCTAAACCCGACACACCCTAAACCGTCAAACCCTCAGACCCCCAGCATTTGCAGGGCCCAGGCTGTGCGCGAGCAAGCCAGGAGGAATCTTGCACGCAGGGTTTGGGGTTTCGAGGGTATAGGGTTTAGGAGTTCTGGTTCTAGTGTTCAAGGTTTAGGATTCAGGGTTTAGGGTTTTAGGGTTTGTTTTGTTTAGGTTCTGGGTCATTCTTCTTTCTTGGGGCCACACGGCCCCCAAAATGGCTCCGGTTCATAGATCTTATCGAGGTCAAAAGGGAATACCGTAGCATGGGGGTCACAAACCAAGTTTTTCGGATGAGGCCTAGGCGCCCCTTCGCGTAGCAAGGGCTTGTAGGATCCCCCTATGGGTCGAAGCCTCAATAAGGTTCCTTTCATGTCGGAACTCCCCATGACACGAAATAAGGGCACTTCTCTGAATTAGGATCCTTTTTGGGTCCTTATTCTAAGGGTGCCGTAGTACATAGCAAAAAGGGACCCTAATTGAGAGAACTGCCCAAATGATACAGTATGGCATATGGCCGTAAACCCTTCACCCTAGACCCCAAAGGCTTAAGCCTTAAACCCATATAGCACCCAAGTCTGCTTTGTGCTGAAAAAACACAAACAAATAGAAACAATAGTCCCTATATTGCCCTTCTGAGCAAGAATATATTTGTTTTTTGTTTTCTCAAGCAAATAGTAGAAACTCCTTACACCCCTGATCCTTGTTGAAAGGGTCCTAAACCCCACAGCCTAAAACCCAAAAATCCTAAGCCCATACTCCTAGGGCCCAAATATAGGAGATGCGCTTTCTCACTTTCCAGTTGTTTCCCGTGAGCCCGAAGCCCTAAACCCTAAACACTTTTCCAGACCCTAAACCCTAAACCCTAAACCCTAAACCCTAAACCCTAAACCCTAAACCCTAAACCCTAAACCCTAAACCCTACAACACAGGAATGAGCGCCGCGAGCAGAAGATCCAGGACTTGGCGCCCCGCGACTCCCAACCCGACCGCCCTAGTTTAGGGTTAGGGTTTAGGGTTTAGGGTTTAGGGTTTAGCGTTTAGGGTTTAGCGTTTAGGGTTTAGGGTTTAGGGTTTAGGGTTTAGGGTTTAGGGTTTAGGGGTCTTCTGGGCAACTTTTGCAGTAAAGGGTATGGTGTATATAAGGGGCACCCATTTTGGGAAGTACCCAGAACAACATTATGAGAAGTTCTTGCATTACGCCCTGACGTTTTTTTTTTGCAAGAGCTATAGTCACATCTTCAGGAAGGCTTCTCCAAGAACAAATCCTTCCCATCCAGATACTTTCCCATGTTGCCCTGAACCCTACTAAGCCCCCCAATTTCTTTCCAAGATTGAACGGTGCATTCTACACCCTAACTCCTAAATCCTAAACCCTAAACCCTAAACCCTAAACCCTAAACCCTAAACCCTAAACCCATTCTACACCCTAACTCCTAAACCCTAAACCCTAAACCCTAAACATTAAACATAATCCCCAAACCCTGTCAATGGTGAAACATTTATCGGTCCACCGGTCTCAGGTGGCGGGCCGCCTAAAAGGCGGTGATCGTTGCCTGTCTTGTTCCGAGGTTTAGGGTTTAGGGTTTAGGGTTTAGGGTTTAGGGTTTAGGGTTTAGGGTTTAGGGTTTAGGGAGGACGCTTGTTCGAAGAGGGCTTCAGGGTCCGCATTTTCCTGGAACCTTAGTTGCAGTCCTGTTTTTGGGGTACCGAGTTGTATGACTGCTTTATAGAACAAAGTGCCTAGTTAGGGTTTAGATTTAGGGTTTAGGGTAGCTTCTGTGTTCAGTCGTCCCTAGGCCCTAAACCCGAAGTTAGTTCTTAGAAAGGCTCGACGGGATTTGTCAGCAACTACAGTGTGCTCGCAGGGCCTGCGCTGGATGTCGGCAGTTGCCTCCGGGCTCCCAGAGACACCCCTCTCAAAAAAAACGAGGCATGTATATACCTGCGTGGATACGGATGAAGACAGAGAAGTGCGGGCGTTTACGAATGTCTGTATGGATATTGTGTGTAGATAGCTATAGGTACGCATGCATCTCTCACTAGACATACATATACGTTATACATAGAATGATGAGTCTGTATGCTATTTATGTATATACAAATCATGCTAGAATCTCCCCTTGGTGAGTCCAAGAGCATTGCAGCGTTGAGGTGTTTTGGAGGCTGCTGCTCGGGTGAGCCCCTACAACCAAAACCCTGAACCCTAAAACGGGTTTAGGGTTTAGGGTTTAGGGTTTAGGGTTTAGGGTTTAGGGACACCCCTGAAACCCCAAACCCTGAACGCCCTACACCGCCGGGAAGGAGCGTGAAGAAGCTCGCCTTCGCAAGTTCCGAGAGTCCCAATTCATGGACACCATGCGCCGCTTGGTTTGTTTTTATGGGCAATGGCAGCCTTTCTGTCTGAGTTTTTTTTGGTTCTCAACCAAAAAAAAGAGACACGACAGTCTTGGTTTTGGTGTTATGGGCAGTGGTACCCTTTTTGCCTGCATTTTTTTGGGGGTTCAAGGTTCCCTTTTATTCTTCGTAGCCAACCCAAAAAGGGGTACCCTTATTATAACATGGTTTCTGGGCTACCAAGCTGGCGGCCCCAATCTTGGAAAGTGTCAAGTGGTTGTTCCGAAAAGCCCGGCAGAACAGGGACACCCTTGACTCGGTTCCACGTGGCTTTCGCAGTGCTGACCCAGGCTGACCCCAACCCTAACCCTCTAAGACCCTTACAGTAAACTCCTGGAAAGTTGGAACAGGGCTTAGGGATGAAGAGCTGGGATTCCCTTTAGTATACCTTTTGGGGTATGGGGATAAGGATGTTCCAACTTTTTGGAGTGTACTGCAACCCTAACCCTAAACCCGTCCCGACACCGTTAAACCTTGCCCACTGCGCCCCGCACCCAGTCGAGGTGCCACGCGAACCTTCATGCCGGACAGACAAGGGCTGCAGGGATTGGGTTAGGGTTGCCATGTGGGAGTTTACGAAACAAAGGGACCCCTAATAAAGACCCCCAAGTAGTCCGGTTACCTTTGAATAATGACCCCAAGAAGGTACCCCTCATTTCGGAAACCCCCATGTTGGAGTCGCGTGAGTACCGGCTTGTCTCGTGAACCTTCATGCCGGACAGACAAGGGCTCCCCAGAGAGTGGTGCCCAGGGGTGTCATGTTGGAGTAGGCTTCCCTACAACCCCGCCTCCCTGAAACCCCTTAAACCCTAAACCCTAGAACGTTTCCCTAAACCCTAAACCCTAGACGCTAGACCCTAAACCCTAAACCTACACCGTGAACATGGCTACAGCTCAACTGAGGGATGTGAGGGGCGTCTCAGCAGATCTTTTGCGCTCAATAGCTAGAACATCCTCCAACGAGCACGTGACAACAAAGCATCTGATCAACTGCACTCGGTGCCATGGGCAGCCAGCCACGAGGCTGTGCGCGGTTAAGGGTTTAGGGTTTAGGGTTTAGGGTTTAGGGTTCGGGTTTAGGGTGGCGCCCAAGTATGCATTACGAGACTACCAATGGAGCATGCGCCGTGGTCTCCGAAGCATACTGCGGTTGTCGAGTGCAGCGGTTTGTCGCACAGCACTTCCGCGAACTACTTGGCCGCAAAGGGGGGGCCATGCACACAAATGTACGTCAAGAAGCTGCCGTCGCGTGCCAAGATGGTAGAGTACCTTGGGGACCAAATTAACCTTAAAAGGCTTTATGGTTCATATACCTCAATATTAGCTAGTTACTGTCCCAATTTTAGGGGCTTCATTTGCTCCGCAAGGTATGTGTGGATGGTCAGGTAGCTGCAGGTCGCCGCTTGCTACTGAGTGGGGAGGTCGTCATGCTGCGCATTGACGGCGACGGCGCGTCTGGTTCATATCCTTCTGCTGCTGCAAGTGGCACGAAGCGGGGTGCTCCAAGAATGCAGCTTGTGTGCGACCCGGTGTGCAATCCCATGGACTGGGAGAGGGATTCACCTGAAGGAGGTTTGGCAAGTGCTTTGGCAGGCTTGGCCAAGTTTCGGTCGTACTACAAAGACTTGCTGGCAATGGGCTCAGAAGACTGGGAGCAATGCGAAAGGCTGTTTCAAAGTCCAGTACCTCTAAGCCTGCGCTTGAATAGATCTCCGCTGCACAACGACACAGTCTCCGCATTGATCGCCAGGCTAGGCCACAGGGCAGAATTTGTGCCCTGGATGGAGCAGCATGGTGGCGCGCTGCATGTTGCACCTACCGCAAGCCAGGAAGAAGCCGCGGATGGCCTGGAGCTTGTGAACATGCTGGCCTCCGCGGGCGAAGTGGTAGTCCAAGATGGGCTGTCAATGCTGCCCCTTGGTAGCTAAACCCTAAACCCTAAACCCTAAACCCTAAACCCTAAACCCTAAACCCTAAACCCTAAACCCTAAACCCTAAACCCTAAACCCTAAACCCTAAACCTTATTATAAGACTCCAAGGCCCGCTGCGGCTCTCGACCCTCAGCCGGGCGAGGCGGTCTTGGACCTCTGCAGCGCGCCCGGCAGTAAGACCTGCCAACTGCTGCTTTGTCATAGTTGGATAACATTTCTACATGTTTAAGGGGTTTAGGGTTTAGGGTTGAGGGGCAACATTTTATATACTTGTAAGGGTACTTAAAATCGAATAGTTTTCCATGTTTTAAGGCTACTTAAACCTAGTAATTTTACATTTTGAAGGGTACTTAAACCTAATAAGGAATAGACATTTGCATGTTTAGTACCGTCCCAACCAAAAACTAGGCTGGATGCCATCACACAAAAGCAAGCAAGCAGCAGCCTCCTGATTGCCAACGACCTCCGAGTGGAACGATCGGAGCGGACGTGGTCGCGAGCAAAGGCACAGCCTTGCACTCCGCTGGTGATTACGAATCTATATCCCCTTTTGGGAATTTTTTTTTCTGTTCATATAAGAACCCAAGAGGATATATAAAAAAGCAATTATTTTTGATTAAGGTTCTATTAGGGGAGTATAGGAATGTGGATGGGACTTGCTTTCCCGACTTGCTTGGCGGCGCCTTTGATCGCATCCTTGTGGATGCTCCCTGCAGCTCGGACGGGACTGTTCGTAAGGAGCCCAAGCGATTGCAGCGCTGGAGTATGGGCTCTGGGTTGAGCCACCATGAGCTACAGCTGCGTCTGCTGCGCAGGGGCCTGGCGTTGCTCAGACCTGGGGGCAGACTGGTCTATTCGACTTGCTCAATCAACCCCCTGGAATGCGAAGCCGTGGTACAAGCGGCTTTGGTTGAGACTTCTCCCGATGTCCGCCTCATACCTGCAGAGGCAGTTCTGCCTGAGGGCTGCCCAAGGGGAATGCCTGGCTTGAGCACGTGGAGCGTCCCTGAGGCTGGGGGAGCCCTAACCCTGAACCCCAAAACCCTACAACCCCAAACCCTAAACCCCCTATACCCTATGGACCCAAACCCTAAACCCTAAACCCCAAACCCTCAACCCCAAACCCTAAACCCTAAACCCTAAACCCCAAACCCGCTTCAGGGACTCGAGGATCTGGCCCCCTTCCCCCCTCAAACCTGGCAAACCCTAGAAGGGTTTAGGGTTAGGGTGGGTTTAGGGTTTAGGGTTTTCTTCTTTTGGTTCAAGGTTCCCTTATTATGAAGTAACCAACCCCAAAACAGGGTACCCTTATCACAGTATGGTTGCTGGGCTAGAGACAAAGCACTGCCAGGAATCCAGCCAGGTGCTGAGCACCATGTTCCCTGTGTCAAAGCCGGAGTCTTCGGAATCTAGGTCGGCCCTTGGGATATTTTATATTGTCCCTTAGTTGGGTTTAATAGGATATCACATAAACCCTAAACCCTAAACCCTAAACCCTAAACCCTAAACCCTAAACCCTAAACCCTAAACCCTAAACCCTAAACCCTACACCCTAAACCCTAAACCCTAAACCCTAGGGTTTCAAAGGGGGCCATCCTAGGAATTGTCGCTGCACCACTGCGCCCGATTCCTGCCCATCCACGGCCCACACTTCGGCGGCTTCTTCCTGGCAGCCTTCACCCGCGACCTAGTAGTAGAGTAGGTCTCTACTAAACCCTAAACCCTAAACCCTAAACCCTAAACCCTAAACCCTAAACCTTTTTGGGGTAAATATAATCCCCCTTACAATCCCAAAGGTTCACCTTCAGGTCTCCCCAGCTTACTGGACAACTTAAGGCGAGGGAGGGGCCGAAGCGCACTCTGCCCAAGCACCCGGAGCTCATCTTCCAGGCACCTCGGCTCTTAGGTTTAGGGTTTAGGGTTTAGGGTTTAGGGTTTAGGGTTTAGGGTTTAGGGTTTGGGGTTCCAGGCGCGGCTTCGCAGCCACTTCTTGAAAGATTCGAGCTGGTCGACCCCGTGGGTTTCCGAGAGTTGGTGGAGTTCTTCGGCTTCTTGGTAGGTCAGTGGTACCCTTTTGGCTCTTTGGTTTAGGGTTTAGGGTTTAGGGTTTTAGGGCTGTCGGATCCCTGAGATAGTAACCAACCAAAAGAAAGGTACCGTTACTACACCATGGTTAACCCCTGCGCCGTTTTTTTCCTCAAAGTTTCGCTCCTACAGTCGCCAACAAAGAAAGAAGGGTACCCTTGTTGTAATATGCGTTACCCTAAACCCTAAACCCTAAACCCTAAACCCTAAACCCTAAACCCTAAACCCTAAACCCTAAACCCCAAAGGCTTGCAGGGACCCGAGCTGGAGCAGTTGGTGTCATTTCCACAAGGCGTTGTCAGCTTGGTTGGTGCGCGACTTCACACGTTGAGCAAGCCTCCTGCGGGCCTGTCCGTCCTGCACGCCGGAACGCCACTGCTGCATAAGATGGCTGCGGTGGCACCGCACAACTGGAAGATTTGCCCGGAAGGGGCCAACTGCTTGGCCACACTGGCCACAAAGCGGAAGGTGTACCCTGCGGAGGACGCCCTGCAGCTTCTCTTGCGTGAGCGTGTCGGGCCATGCAGTGACTCGGTTGTGCTTTGGGACAACTCTGAATTTCCCCTCTTCCCTTAGAAGGGAACCTACTCATCATCATTTTCAAAGGATTTAGAGCACAACTCAGGTGAGCTTGATGGACCAGTTCTGGTTCGAGTGCCTTTGGATAGCAACGGGCGTTCTGGCCAGCAGGTGTGGCTAAGTGGGGAGATTGTGGATGGCCAGCTGACTTTAGATTCGTCTGGAGATTTGCTGCGACGATGCCAGCTTGCAACGGGTCCACCCGCTGTCCTTGCCAAGCCTGAGGCCTAAACCCTAAACCCTAAACCCTAAACCCTGAACCCTAAACCCTAAACCCTAAACCCTAAACCCTAAACCCTAAACCCTAAACCCTAAACTCTCTAAAGCCTATGGCAGGATGCTGAGAAGGGAGCCCCAGTTTTGGCAGCCCACCGTCCCAGGATTCCTGCAAAGCTTTTGTTAGAAAAGAGAACGTTGTGGGGTAACCTCGCCTGGCTTGTCCCAGTGTGAGCGATCTCCTCACCCCTCCCCCCTGGAAAGCCATGAATTAAACCCTAGACTCCTAAACCCTAAACCCTAAACCCTAAACCCTAAACCCTAAACCCTAAACCCTAAACCCTAAACCCTAAACCCTAAACCCTAAACCCTAAACCCTAAATCCGAACGGGTCCCCGAGCCCAGAGGATCCTTCAGTTGAGCCTTGTGATTGGGCGTTTTAAGGTTCCAGGCTCTGAGTCCTGGTTGGAAAAGGGTTCGAGGGTGCTGCGTAGGGTTCAGGGTTTAGGGTTTAGGGTTAGGGTTTAGGGTGTAGGGCTTAGGGCTTAGGGCTGAGGGTTTAGGATTTTTTTATAGGGTTTAGGGTTTCAGATTTAGGGCTTTATGGTTCAGGGTTTGAAAGTGTTCCCCCTCCCATGCCCCCCCTGCCCCCCTGCCTCCCCCCTGCCCCCGCCAACCGTGAACCCTAAACCCAAAAACCCTAAACCCGAAACCGTGAACCGAGAGAGAGCGAGAGAGAGAGAGAGAGAGAGCGAGAGAGAGCGAGAGAGAGAGAGAGAGAGCGAGAGAGCGAAGCCCCAAAACCCAAAACCCAAAACCCCTAAACCGCTAGCCCCCTAAACCCCTTAACCCCTAAATCCCTAAGCCCATCAACCCCCAAACCCCTCGCTTCCCAAGCCTGCTGGACCCGCAAACACCCCAAACCCTAGAAGCCCGAGCAGGGGTTCAGGGTTCATGGCACCAAACCCTAAACCCCGAACCCCAAACCCCGATCCCTAAACCCTAAACCCCAAATCCCAAACCCCGAAACCCTAAACCCCAAACCCGAAACCTAAACCCTAAACCCCAAACCCCAAACCCGAAACCTAGACCCTGCGCCAGGAGGATCTGGATAGCCAGGGCAACGCTGAGCGCACGCTGGAGGCACAGGGACTGGGAAGTTGGAATAGACCTCGATTCATAAGGGAATTGGGGTGTATAGGTTGAGGTCAGTTTAGGTTTTAGGGTTTAGGGTGTAGGGTTTAGGGTTTAGGGTTGCTGGGCAGGAAATGGCTGAAGTCACCCACGGTTGGTGGATTCTTCTGATTAGGTTCGGCTCGCGGCTAGAGATTCACGACGCGATTTCGCCATCGCGAAGGGGGTTTGATAAAACTTTCATGATCTGTGGAATTCCCAAATATTAACATGCCCCTTTAATGTGCCCCAACATACAGTAATCCTTCTCATAGGGCCTTCAAAAAGGTTTAGGGTTTAGGGGTTAGGGTGGCCCGAAAATGGAGAACCGGAAAGCGTGCAAGCCTCTAGAGACTTTCACCCTCAACCCCCATCAAGATTCGGCCCTTGCCTGATGAAACCCAAACCCTAAACCCTAAAGCCGAAACCCTAAACCCAAGTGACAGACCTTATCCGCTGACTCGTGGCGCTTGAGCGTGCGGTTTGTTGAGGCTGGGCAGATGAGCCAGACGGGCATGACCGACCAGGCCTGCGCCCTACACTTGAAACCAGGTTTAGGGTTTAGGGTTTAGGGTTTAGGGTTTAGGGTTTAGGGTTTAGGGGTTCAAGCTTGGGACATGCCAAGCGGCTTCGGGTTTGATGGTGGACGAGGGTGAGCCATAAGTGTTCTCAGGGGGCTTGATTGCCCTTAAACCTCTGAACCCTCAACTAAATCAGTGTTAGGGATCCTTTTTACTTTTTGGGTTATGGGCTTTCTTATATATAGACAAAAAGGATCCTTTTTTCTTCCTAGGGGAACAGGGATTAAGTCAATTCTGAGGGATAAAAGGAGGGACCCCTATAAGGGACCCTTAATCTTACTCCCCTAGACACTCCTAGATAGTCCCTAGGCATGCCTCAATGTAGTGCCTGTCTTCCTAAGTAGCCGCTACGTTATCCCCTAAACCCGAAACCCTAAACCCTAAGCCTAAACCCTAAACCCTAAACCCTAAGGTCCCTTACAAGGGTTCCTCCTTCAGTCAATCGACAGCTCCTTAAACTCTGAACTGGCCCTACGCCTTGGTAGCCCAGTGGTACTTTTTGTTTCCCTTCTTGTGGTTCAAGGTTCCACTAATAGGGGGGTTTAGGGTTTAGGGTGTAGGGTTTCGGTGTAGGGTTTAGGGTTTGGGGCGTAGGGTTTAGGGGTAAAGGGCACCCTTGTCGTAACATGGTTGCTGTTCTACCAAGAAGCCCTAAGCCTCAACCCTCTGAAATCCTCGAGCCCGAAAGCATAGAAGGGATTTTCTGTGGGCGGCTGCTGCGTGGTCAGCATCTAGCCAGGCCTGTGGGCGTTGAGGTACGCACTGTCACAGGGCATTGCGCCCATCAGCTTGGGGGTGGTAGGACTTCTCACAATAATTTGCACTCAGCCCCAAACCCTAAGCCCGGAAACCTTGGCTAGACGGGTGGCAAAAAAGCCTAAACCCGAAACCCTAAAACCGGAAGCCCTAACCCCAAAACTCTGAACCCGAAACCCGAAACCCTAAAGCCCCTAAACCCTAAGCCCTAAACCCCGACCAGGCCCACCGGAAGACCCTGGAGGCTGACGAGAGGCGCAAGCGCCAGGCCGAGAGGGACGAGAAGCCGCTTGGCCTTGTGCAATTTTCGGAGTTTAGGGTTTAGGGTTGAGGGTTTAGGGTTGAGGGGGATGCCCACCCCTTAAGCAGGCATGGCAGTGCATGTCCTGGTATGCAGACCTGGCTCGCCCCCAAGTCCACACAGTTGCAAAAGGGGTTTCTGGTTTAGGGTTTAGGGGTGTAGGGGTCTACCCTAAACCCTAAACCCTAAACCCTAAACCCTGAGTCTTGAGGGTTCATGGTTTAGGATTCAGGGTTTAGGGGTTAGGGCTTTACGGTTTCAGGTTTAGGACTTAGAGGGGGTTTAGGGTGTAAGATTTAGGGTGCAGTCAAACATTGGGGTCCGCTTTTTGTGGGATTATGCAGCGGAGACTTATGTGTAGGGCACGTTCCCAAAGATATAGAAAAAGAGAACCAAACTGGCCATGTAGGGTGCAGGGTTCAGAGTCTTAGAGCGCCCGAAATTGTGGGGACAAGTAAAAGGGTTTTTTTCTGCTGATGTTGGTGCGGGGGTTGAGTTGTGTGAGTAGTTCTCTACGCCAGTGTTGGGGTCCCGTGTTATAGGGTGCCGCCTTAAGATGGGTACCTCAAATGGGACCCTAAACCCTAAACCCTAAACCCTAAACCCCAAACCCCAAACCCTAAACCCTAAACCCTAAACCCAAACCCTAAACCCTAAAGGAAACTACCCATGTGTAGCAGGATTTCGAGGGCGATGACTTACAACGAAGGGGCTTAGCTTGGGGGCTCCACGCTCCGAACCTTGGGCCCCAAACCCAGGAGTTTAGGGTTTAGGGTTTAGGGTTTAGGGTTTAGGGTTTAGGGTTTAGGGTTTAGGGTTTAGGGTTTAGGGTTTAGGGTTTAGGGTTTAGGGCTTACGTAGGCTCAGCAACCTTGATGCAAAAAAGCGCTTGGGGTTGTTCTTGTGCCACGCGCACCCGTGGTGAGACCAAGGTTGAAGCGAGAAGATGAGAAGAAAGGCAGGGTTTAGGGTTTAGGATTCAGGGTTTAGGGTCAGGTTTGGGGTTACACTGTCGGGGTTGTTTGTGGTTGTACTGGGTTTCATGGGTTTCATGGCTTTACCGTGTCTATACTCTGAGAGTCAAGTCTCGGCACGTGTTGGTGTTTTCGGGCCTTGTGGGGTTCGTGGGGTGTCATAAGTTTCTTGGTAGCCCAGTGGTACCCTTTACCCTTTTTTTGGGTTCTGCATTCCCTTATAAAATAACCAACCAAAGAAAGGGTGCCCTTAGTATATGGTTACTGGGCTGCCAAGTTTCGTTCGGGGATTTACAGCTCCTACAGGCTTTTTGGGGTGTCTGGTACCGCAAAGCTCGGTCGGCCCTTGGGAAGCTGTTTATTTTCCCTTGTTGGGTTTAAGAGGGTCATGTTTAGGAATGTTTTTTCAGACGGTTCTAAAGGCCAACCTGGAAAGCAATTTCTGCCACCCTCTGCATGTTCTCGGCCCGCGTGATTCCTAGACTGCAGCGCGTATGCGAAGTTGGCTGAAGTTCGATGAAGGGCGTGGGCAATCTTCCCCTATGACTAAGGGCACCCTAAACCCTAAACCCTAAACCCTAAACCCTAAACCCTAAACCCTAATTTTGGCCTGCGGCCTCGAGGCAAGATGCAGCAGCTCAGTGGCAAGAACCCGAACCTGGCAGAGCTCGAAAGGCGGGATGCGGGTTAGGGTCGAGGGTTTGGGGTTTAGGGTTTGAGGCCAAGTCATAGGGTGTGGAACAGCATAGTCAGTCAGGGCCTGGAAAGCCATAAACCCCAAATCCTATACCCTGAACCCCTAAGACCCTAAACCCTACAGCGACGGTTCTGCCATGCGGGAGCGGAAAAAACATCCTTAGCCGCCGTAGCCCAAGCATCCGAACACCGCACGACGCATCCACAGCTTGCCATACTACCACCTGGAGGTAGGCCCTTGTTTCCTTTTTTTAGGGTTGAGGTTCCCTCATAATCCCCTTAAACCCAAGAGGGCGCCCTGTTTATTCTTCCATGTGATTTCCCTAAACCCTAAACCCTAAACCCGAAACCCTAAACCCTAAACCCGCTTAAACCCCTGGACGAGCCACTTACATTTGAGGCCCCCACCCGGGACCAGTACCTGGCATGCTGGCACAACTGCTCAAGCATGAATCATCTCTATGGAGCTTTAACCACGACAGCCCTCCGAAGTCTTTTGTGTAAGGCCCCTGCAAGCCCAGCCCATGTACCCTAAACCCTAAACCCTAAACCCTAAACCCTAAACCCTAGACCCCAGACTCAAGGATCATGTATCCACCCTAAGACTTGGGCCACCTCTCGAGGATCCGGGAGTGGCGTTCGGCAGACGAAGCAAAGAAGCAGATGCTGGAGGAGCCCTGGGGTTTAGGGTTTTGGGTTTAGGGTTCAGGGTTTAGGGTTTAGGGTTTAGGGTTTAGGGCAAAAAGGGCTTAGGGAACCTGAAGCCCTCTGAACCCCCAAACCCCAACGGACACTACACCCTGAACTCTAAACCTGAACCTCTCAAGTCTTAAGCCCTAAACCCGAAACCTCTGAAACCCTAAGCCCTAAACCCTAAACCCTAAACCCTAAAGGGGGGGGGGGGGGGGGCGCCTGCACCCTTCCTGAACTTTTGGCTTGCAGGGCTTTGGGGTTGGATGTAGCTCTCTGAATTTGGGTTCCCTTGTTCTAAGGACCCCTAGAAGGGTCCCTGATTATGTAGAGAACTAACCATGCAGATTGGTTTAGGGTCTAGGGCTTAGGCCTCAGGGTTTAGGGTACACTTTCTAAACGTCTTGGGGTTTACCGGGCTTATGTTAGTTCCAGGCTTGGGTGTTTATATCCGATTAAGACTCGCACCCCTAAGGTTGTACCCCTAAAAGGTTCCTCTTAATATACTCCTAGTATGGCCCTTATGTTCCCTGAGGATCTTCAAAAAGACTCCCCAACCAAGAGTACCTTCTTAAGGGTAGAATCCCATGATTATAGGGTTTAGGGAAACCAGTACCTAACTTGGAGAGCGGTTTAAGGTAGGGTTGCGTGACGGAGCAGTTTAGTAGGGCTGGTGCTCCTCATTGCCTCTGTCTAGGAGGTAGAAGCCAGAAGCTCTTTGCTCCTGAAGCTCTGACTCCTGCTAAACCCAAACCATGAAACAACGACAACCTTAACACCCAAACGCAACAAGCCCACACAATGAGTTTAGGTTTTAGGGCCTGCGGTTGAGGGTTTAGGGTTGAAGTCGACCTTAAGAATCAAAAAAACTGCTGTTTTGCACATCTTCCCATATAGAACATTCTTCAAACTAATCCCTAAACCCTACGCCCTAAGCCCTAAGCCCTAAACCGCTAAACCCTAAACCCTAAACCCAAAACCCTAAACCCCAAACCCCAAACCCTAAACCCTAAACCTTCTTCAAACGGCTTCTAAGGGCCACCCTGGATTTAGGGTTTTGTGCCCTGGGATGCCCAGCCAAAGGACGCCCGCACGAAGCGGGAGCTGTCAAGGGAGCAGGCGCTGCGCGACATGTACCTTGGGGATGTTGATTTAGGGTTTAGGGTTTGGGGTTTAGGGCTAGGGTTTAGGGTTTAGGGCTGGGGTTTAGGGTTTAGGGTTTAGGGTTTAGGGTTTAGGGTTTAGGGTTCAGGGTTCAGGGCTCAGGGTTTAGGGCTTGGGGCTAAGGGGTTTAGGGGTTTAGGAGTTTAGGGGTCAGGGTTTAGGGTATTCATCTGAGCATCAAGTCTACCTCAAGACAACTCAAAGACCATTCTTTGGTCTGTTCTTGCTAGGCTGATCTGAGGGTTTTGGGTTTAGGGTTTAGGGTTTAGGGTTTAGGGTTTAGGGTTTAGGGTTTAGGGTTTAGGGTTGGGTAGGCGAAGGCGCTTGAGATCGAATCCCTGGCCGAATAGGAGTATCCGGAAAATTCTGGCTGACTTTTTACTTCCCCCGTCGCCTATACCCTCAATCGAACCAAGTTTCCCTGAAACCTCGAAACCCAAAACCTAGAAGCCTCCAAAATCAAGCCAGCAGAGGGTTTTTACGAACCGGAAGAGGGCTGTTAAGTCCTGAGAGCATCATACCTACATTGTAGATACGTGGGCCCCAAGGCTACTATCATGGGAGCCCCTTGAAGGCCCAAGGAAGGACTACAGGGGTACAGTGGACCCTTAGAGACAATCAAAATCCCAAAACCCTAAGCCCTAAGTTTAAACACCAAAACCGAACCCTAAACCCTAAACCCTAAGCCCTAAGCCCTAAGCCCTAAGCCCTAAACCCTAAACCCTAATCCCTAAACCCTAAACCCTAAACCCTAGACCCTAGACCCTAAACCCTAAACCCTAAACCCTAAACCCTAACGATAAACCCTAACCTCAAGTACCCCTAAAGCAAACAACAGCAGCCGAGGCATGAGACAAACGCAAAGCGCGATGAGCTCTGGAATCAGCTCGAGGTCTCCGATCGGGTCTTTAGGGTTTAGGGTTTAGGGTTTAGGGTTTAGGGTTTAGGGTTTAGGGTTTAGGGTTTGGAGTAACTACATCCCGTTCTTTTTCAAAACGGCTTAGTTTAAGAATCCGGGGTTCAGTGGGTTCGGGTTTGAAGTTGTCCAGGAGGCTGTAGTGAGGACACCTGTGTTCTGGGAGTGTGGCTGGAGAATCTCTTGACACGATAAAGATCTAGTGAAGTCTTCTTGGGCTGGATGTCTTCAGTCGTTTGGCCTAAACCTTAACCTAGGGCCTAGAGGGTCCGGAAGCAGCCCTTTAATGTCAGCCAGGTGCTGAGGACGCGGGGAGGTGATTCCGTTCAGAGTTTCTGTTTCAACCATACCTGGACCCCTAAGTTGAGGGTACTTGTAACCCTAAAACCTAAACCTGAAGCCCTTTTCCGCCACCCCGAACCCTACTTATACTTATCTCGAGTTATAACTGTGTCAATCATTTCTTGAAGGGGCAGTGAAGGACGTCGCACTGCGTTCGATATTTCCCGTAGGCTGCTCGTCTCGGACCCCCTGTTGCAATCTATGTCCTTCTCTACTATTTCTTCAAACTCCCGTCCATAAATACCAAAAGATGTAATCCGCATATTGCCGGCATAAGGAAGAATATTTCTAATTATTGGCGGGGCTGTTAAGCAAACAGTGGTTCTAGGCACATTAAACCCTAAAGCCGAAACCCTAAACCCTAAACCCTAAACCCTAAACCCTAAACCCTAAACCCCAAACCCTAAACCCTAAACCTTATACCCTAACCGCTCAAAATGAAGCCGAGAGCCTGGAAACTTGAGATCCCCCAAAGCCTGATCCCAGACCCGCGGCCGAGCCTCCGCCCTACTTTTTCCCCCCTCAGTTCATGTATCCGTTCCTAAACCCCTTGACCCTATAAACCTTCAACCCTATAAACTCTGAGCCCTAAACCCTAAACCCTAAACCCTAAACACATGGAAGTCTCACTTGCAGGGAGTTTCGGAACACCATCATACGTCTTCTGCAATGAGAATGCAAAACTGCCCCGATGCAAAGAAAAAGTGTTTAGAGTTCAGGAGAGAAACTACCCCAAACCCTAAACCCTAAACCCTAAACCCTAAACCCTAAACCCTAAACCCTAAACCCTAAACCCTAAACCCTAAACCCTAAACCCTAAACCCTAAACCCTAAACCCTAAACCCTAAACCCTAAACCCTAAACCCTAAACCCTAAACCCTAAACCCTAAACCCTAAACCCTAAACCCTAAACCCTAAACCCTAAACCCTAAACCCTAAACCCTAAACCCTAAACCCCAAACCCTCAACCCTCAACCCTAGGGCACTTCAGAAGTTCGAAGGGCCTGGGAACAAAAGGGTAATCCGAGGTTAGGGCGTTCAATGTAGGGGGTCGGAATAAGTTGCTACTAGCACTCATGGTCCCTGTAAAGTGATCCTAATAATAGTAACCCCCAAAGGCTAGCATTCCCTCATGGTCCCTGTAAAGTGATACGATAGTAGCCCCCAAAAGCTTATTCGAATTACCAAGGCCCCTATACTAGCCCAGACACCTGGGATTCCGTAAAATGGGCCGCAGGTGACCCGGACGGAGAGGGAACAGGACCGGCAGCAAAACCGCCAGAAGGCTGGGGCGAGAGCCTGTTAGACTTGGAGAATGACCAGGCGTAGAGTTTTGGGTTTAGGGTTTAGGGTTTAGGGTTTGGGGTTTTTGGGGTTTTTGGGGTTTAGGGCTTAGGGTGCTGTCCGACCCAAAGCCTGTTGCAAAACGGGCTTAGGGTTCCGAATCAGCAGCCCAGTTTCGTGCCTCAAGTCCAAGGGGGGTCTAACCTATTTAGGTTTAGGGCAACGGGGCCGTGTTGATATCAGTTGCAGGGCAATAGTGCTTAGGGACTTCTCTTAGTCCAAGCCCTGGGGCTTTAAGCCCTGGGGCTCTTGATAGCATTGGTTGTCCTGTATGCATCCCATCTTCCGAACACATACTGCTATTGCTGAAGAACCCTCAAGAAAAAATACAAGATTATGATCCCGACACTGCCCCTTGTATTCGGAAGATTGTTTTTTTGGAGGGGGGTTTCTTAAGCAACCTAGTAACAATAGCCTTGGACAGCGCCGCAGCTCCTTGGGTTTCGATTCGGTTGTTGCAAAGAAAAGGCCGGCAGGTTGAGGTTCCGTGTCCCGGGCGGTCCCACAAGAGGAAGATTGCTTATGGGCTTCTTAGAAGATCTCGGGGTTTAGGGCTTGGGGTTTAGGGTTTAGGGTTGAGTTTTTCGCTTGGGGTGTGGGTGTCAGGGTTTAAGGTTTCGTTGACGCCTCTTCAGTAAATCTGGTGATGCCCGGCGCGAGACCTGCCTGGATGCAAAGGGGTTTAGTTGAACTCATGCTAGCTTCTGATTCAAGGTTCCACTAAGAGTTCAAGCTCTCAACAGGCTGTGATCGAGCACATCAAGAACATGCCCGTCGGCGGTGGTCTGCCGAATGTCTTGGTGTACTGAGCGCTGGGCTGCCCGCCCTCGCTGAGATCATTCCCGAGGCCTTCCGTTAGCCCGAGCCAGCCGATCTCTTGGGTTCGGCTGTTGCTAAGTTAAGTAGGCTCGCAGTATGTCAGTTGAACCCTGAACCCTGAACTCTCAACCCTAGGCCCTAAGCCCTAAACCCTGAACTCAGCACAGCCCGGATAATGTTGGGGGGGGGTGGGGGGGGGGGGGGCACCCCCGCCGGTTGTCATCTTCAGAGCTGTGGCTACCGACCGTTGGTGGTTCGAAGTTCCCGGCGATGTGCGGACTTGACCCCTAAACCCTAAACCCTAAACCCTAAACCCTAAACCCTAAACCCTAAATCCTAAACCCTAAACCCTAAACCCTAAACCCTAATTAAACCCTAAAACCCTAAACCCAAGGCTCCTAAAACCACCTCAACCCCCTGAAGCCCCTCAATCTCAAGAGCCCATTCGAGCCCTCTGTATATTCCAGTCTCCAGGATCGCCTGAGCCTGCAACTCCAATGGGCGCGAAACCCGCTATCAACTCCCTCAAGATATGTATATATATATACTCTGGATTATATATATATACACTCTCTGTATATACGTACATACATGGATGTATTCAGACTGTACACTATATATATATATATGTATATATATATACATATATGTATACATACATGTATACATACATACATACATACATACATACATACATACATATATATATATATATATATTACACTCTATATTGTATACACACGCAATATTACATATCTCAACCACGAGCCTCAGGGTAATTGGGGTTTGGGTTCCTGGCTGCGAGGTCTTCGTGCTGTCGCAGTTTCACCATTTCACTGACCTGCCCTTGCATGCCACCTGCAGCACTGCCGGCAAAAAGTCCGCACTGACATGTCGTCCCCAAAAACCTAAAACCCTGGACCCTTGCACTCCCCTAAACCCTAAGCCCTAAGACCTAGCCGGGCGCCAAAGAAAAAGACCTAAGACCTAAGCCCCAAGCCCTAAGCCCTAACCTTGGCACCCTCTGAAACCCCTTTGAAACCAAGTAGAGCGAGAGTCGATGCCCGAAAGCCCACAGCCCTAGGCCCCTGTCAGGATGGGTTTAGGGTTGCGGGTTTAGGGTTTAGGGTTTAGGGCTAGGGGGGTAGCAACAGGTAGTACGGGTTTAGGGCTTGACAGGTATAGGGTTCGGGTTTAGGCAAAAGGGTAGGGATGGTGCCATGACTTGGCATGTATTTGGGGGTAATTGTTGTTGGTATTCTAAGCCCTGAAGCGCGAAATCCCAAAACTTGGGATGTTTCCCCTAAAACAGACAGTCTTTAATTATTTCTAGTACATATCCCCCAAATTATAATCCCTATTCAGGACTGTTAGCATAAGAACTTTTAGTTATTTCTAGTATATATCCCCAATTATAATCCCTATTCAGGACTGTTAGCACCTAAACCCTAAACCCTAAACCCTAAACCCTAAACCCTAAACCCTAAACCCTAAACCCTAAACCCTAAACCCTAAACCCTAAACCCTAAACCCTAAACCCAAGGGTTCCCAGCCAACCCCAAATCCTGACGACCAGGTGCTGACCAAAGCCCAAGCGCGCTGTCACGAGTCGATCCGGCATCGTCCTTCAACTTTGCGTCGTCTTTTTCCCGAAAGCATCGCGAAGGGTTCTTCCGTGCGGAGCCCTCTGACCCAACAACCTAGAGTGAAGTACATAGAGTGAAGTGCATAGAGTGAAGCGCGTAGAGCGAAGTGCATAGAGTGAAGTGCATAGAGTGAAGCGCACAGAGTGAAGTGCATAGAGTGAAGTGCATAGAGTCAAGTGCACAGAGTGAAGTGCATAGAGTGAAGCGCATAGAGTGAAGTGCATAGAGTGAAGTGCATAGAGTGAAGTGCATAGAGTGAAGTGCACAGAGTCAAGTGCATAGAGTGAAGTGCATAGAGTGAAGTGCATAGAGTGAAGTGCATAGAGTGAAGTGCATAGAGTGAAGTGCATAGAGTGAAGTGCAATGAGTGAATTGCCTAGACCTTCGTACCCAGTCCTAGATTTCTAAATTAAAATTACTCTTTCTAAGGCGGCGGGCTGGGTTGACATCGCCAATCGGGATTGCAACCCTCTGCGGGTTTCGGCGTGGTCGTGGTGCTAAAACCGTCGTTTTTTTTACGTTTCTTTGTGTCCGCGGACAACCCTCTGCGGGTTTCGGCGTGGTCGCAGTGCCAAAACCGTCGTTTTTTGACGTTTCTTTCTGACCGCGGACAACCCTCTGCGGGTAATCGCCGGGTCGCGGTGCTAAAACCGTCGTTTTTGGAACTTTTTTTCGTGGGCGCAGACAACCCTCTGCGGGTTTCGGCGTTGGCGCGGTGCCAAAACCATCGTGTTTTTGCCTTTTTTGACATACAAACGTAACCCCTCTGCGGGTTTCGGCGTTGGCGCGGTGCCAAAACCATCGTGTTTTTGCGTTTTTTGACATACGAACGTAACCCCTCTGCGGGTTTCGGCGTTGGCGCGGTGCCAAAACCATCGTGTTTTTGCGTTTTTTGACATACGAACGTAACCCCTCTGCGGGTTTCGGCGTTGGCGCGGTGCCAAAACCATCGTGTTTTTGCGTTTTTTGACATACGAACGTAACCCCTCTGCGGGTTTCGGCGTGGTCACGGTGCCAAAGTCGACTTTTGTAGTACGGACACGCGGAGCTTCCGTGGCTGGAAAGTCGAGTTTTGTAGTACAGACGTAGTACGCCGGGGACACCCGGAGCTTCCGTGGCTGGAAAGTAGACTTTTGTAGTACAAACGTAGTACGCCGCGGACACCCGGAGCTTCCGTGGCTGGAAAGTCGACTTTTGTAGTACAAATGGAGTACGCCGGGGACGCCCGGAGCTTCCCCGTGTCTGGAAAGTCGACTTTTGTAGTACAAATGTAGTACGCCACGGACGCCCCCGGAGCTTCCCCGTGGCTGGATAGTTGACATTTTGTAGTACAAACGTAGTACGCCGCGGACACGCGGAGCTGCCGTGGCTGGAAAGTCGACTGTTTGTAGTACAGATGTAGTACGCCGCGGACACGCTGGGTGTCTGAAAACACCGCAAATAGCATGGTAACGGACATCTGGGCGCATGAAAACACCGCAAATAGCATGGTAACGGACATCTGGGCGCATGAAAACACCGCAAATAGCATGGTAACGGACCGCCGCGGATGCCCTGGGCGTCTGAAAACACCGCAAATAGCATGGTAACGGACATCTGGGCGCTTGGAAACACCGCAAATAGCATGGTAACGGACATCTGGGCGCTTGAAAACACCGCAAATAGCATGGTAACGGACCGCCGCGGATGCCCTGGGCGTCTGAAAACACCGCAAATAGCAGGGTAACGGACATCTGGGCGCTTGAAAACACCACAAAGAGCATGGTAACCGCAAATAGCATGGTAACGGACATCTGGGCGCTTGAAAACACCGCAAATAGCAAGGTAACGGACATCTGTGCGCTTGAAAACACCGCAAATATGGTCCCCGAATTCGCTGGTTCCAAATGCATGGCAAATACCATGGTCCCCGAATTCGCTGCTTCCAAAAGCATCGCAAATACCATGGTCCCCGAATCCGCTGTTTCCAAAACCATCGCAAGGAGCTTCCGTGGCTGGTTCCAAAACCATCGCAAATACCATGGTCCCCGAATTCGCTGGTTCCAAAAGCATCGCAAATACCATGGTCCCCGAATTCGCTATTTCCAAAAGCATCGCAAATACCATGACCCCCGAATTCGCTGGTGCCAAAAGCATCGCAAATACCATGGTCCCCGAATTCGCTGGTTCCAAACGCATGGCAAATACCATGGTCCCCAAATTCGCTGCTTCCAAAAGCATCGCAAATACCATGGTCCCCGGATTCGCTGTTTCCAAAACCATCGCAAGGAGCTTCCGTGGCTGGTTCCAAAACATCGCAAATACCATGGTCCCCGAATTCGCTGGTTCCAAAAGCATCGCAAATACCATGGTCCCCGAATTCGCTGTTTCCAAAAGCATCGCAAATACCATGGTCCCCGAGTTCGCTGTTTCCAAAACCATCGCAAATACCATGGTCCCCGAATTCGCTGGTTCCAAACGCATGGCAAATACCATGGTCCCGAATTTGCTGCTTCCAAAAGCATCGCAAATACCATGGTCCCCGAATTCGCTGTTTCCAAAACCATCGCAAGGAGCTTCCGTGGCTGGTTCCAAAACCATCGCAAATACCATGGTCCCCGAATTCGCTGGTTCCAAAAGCATCGCAAATACCATGGTCCCCGAATTCGCTGTTTCCCCGAATTCGCTGGTTCCAAACGCATGGCAAATACCATGGTCCCCGAATTCGCTGGTTCCAAAAGCATCGCAAATACCATGGTCCCCGAATTCGCTGGTTTCAAAAACCGGCGCGAAAACCATTGTCCCCGAATTCGCTGGTTCCAAAACCATCGCAAATACCATGGTCCCCGAATTCGCTATTTCCAAAAGCATCGCAAATACCATGACCCCCGAATTCACTGGTGCCAAAAGCATCGCAAATACCATGGTCCCCGAATTCGCTGGTTCCAAACGCATGGCAAATACCATGGTCCCCGAATTCGCTGCTTCCAAAAGCATCGCAAATACCATGGTCCCCGAATTCGCTGTTTCCAAAACCATCGCAAGGAGCTTCCGTGGCTGGTTCCAAAACCATCGCAAATACCATGGTCCCCGAATTCGCTGGTTCCAAAAGCATCGCAAATACCATGGTCCCCGAATTCGCTATTTCCAAAAGCATCGCAAATACCATGACCCCCGAAATCGCTGGTGCCAAAAGCGTCGCAAATACCATGGTCCCCGAATTCGCTGGTTCCAAACGCGTTGCAAATACCATGGTCCCCGAATTCACTGCTTCCAAAAGCATCGCAAAAACCACGGTCCCCGAATTCGCTGTTTCCAAAACCATCGCAAGGAGCTTCCGTGGCTGGTTCCAAAACCATCGCAAATACAATGGTCCCCGAATTCGCTGGTTCCAAAAGCATCGCAAATACCGTGGTCCCCGAGTTCGCTGTTTCCAAAAGCATCGCAAATACCACGGTCCCCGAGTTCGCTGTTTCCAAAACCATCGCAAATACCATGGTCCCCGAATTCGCTGGTTCCAAACGCATGGCAAATACCATGGTCCCCGAATTTGCTGCTTCCAAAAGCATCGCAAATACCATGGTCCCCGAATTCGCTGTTTCCAAAACCATCGCAAGGAGCTTCCGTGGCTGGTTCCAAAACCATCGCAAATACCATGGTCCCTGAATTCGCTGGTTCCAAAAGCATCGCAAATACCATGGTCCCCGAATTCGCTGTTTCCAAAAGCATCGCAAATACCATGGTCCCCGAATTCGCTGGTTCCAAACGCATGGCAAATACCATGGTCCCCGAATTCGCTGGTTCCAAAAGCATCGCAAATTATTAATACCATGGTCCCCGAATTCGCTGGTTCCAAAACCATCGCAAATAACATGGTCCCCGAATTCGCTGGTTCCAAAACCATCAACCGTCGCAAATACCATTGTCCCCGAGTTCGCTGGTTCCAAAACCATCGCAAATACCACGGTCACCGAATTTGCTGGTTCCAAAACCATCGATGGCAAATACCATGGTCCTCGAATTCGCTGCAAACACCATGGTCCCCGTATTCGCCGGTTCCAAACGCATGGCAAATACCATGGTCCCCGAGTTCGCTGGTTTCAAAAACCATCGCGAAAACCATGGTCCCCGAATTCGCTCTTCCAAAAGCATCGCAAATACCCTGGTCCCCGAATTCGCTGGTTCCAAAACCATCGCAAATACCATGGTCCCCGATTTCGCAAAATCACATGGTGCTCCAGCGCGGGGCGTGCGAAAACATCGCAAAAAGCATGGTTATTTCATTTCCCGGCGTGCGATAGCATGGAAGCGGAATTCCGCGTGCTTGAAAACCTCGCAAATATCATGGAAGCGGACTTCGTCTCTCAACCTTGCATGTGAGATCAAGGTTTGGCTCTACTGACGTTGTGTGCACAGTAGATAGGATTGGCGGCGCGGATGACCGGCCGTGGTAGGAAGCGGCCTGCCTTGTCTGAGCTCGGCTGCGTCGCTGCGCATGGCACGGGCTGGAGGGCGCGTGTCCACATCGGCGAGCGCAATGTTTTGTGCCCGCAGCGTTCTTGCAAGGACGAAGCCGAGGCTGACCTGGAGGCGCTGCGCGCCGCATCTTCTTACCGCGAGCTGCGTTTGACAGCGCAGCGACTGAAGACGGGCTCTGCCAGTTTGCTTCCACTGTGTCTGTGTGGAATAAACATTCAGTACCCTTGGAGTCGGCTCATCATAGCTGGGGTGAAAACCATCGAGGTCCGCAAATATCCGCTGGGTAAGTACCCCTGTTTCACTGCAGGACAAGATGTATTCCTCATTGAGACTCCTGGCCAGCGTTCCACAGACGGTGCTGACTGCGCTATCGATGTGGGCCCACCGCCAGAACATTCTCGTGTCATTGGCTTGCTTCGATTCAATGGCTGTTTCCAGTTTGCTGACCTAGAGGAGTTTGAAGTCTTTCGAGCACAGACGCGAATCAGGCAGGGTGGCAAATATGCCTGGTCGAATCTGGGCGATGGTCCCATCTTCGGCTGGGGGGTGGGCAGTGCGAGGGAGCTAGAGCCCATACCTGCTGACGGCAAGACAATGCTTGGCTGGCAACGCCCTCGCGCATTGACCGTGAGCTTCTCCGATGTGTAGCAACGTCTTCTAAGGATGTGGACATATTCACTTGTCAGCGCTGTAGAACTTAGGCTTTGCAATGTACAGCACGTGTGTGACTGATGCTTGAATTTCTTCTCGCAGGCGTTTCACTCGAGACTATATAGGGTCTAGTTTTGCGAATGTCCAGTTGCCCGAGCCTGACCCCGGCGCTGCGTACTCGACGCTGTCTTGCGGAAGGTGCGCCTGCGCTGGGCACGGCAGAAGCCTCACCCTGGACATGTCAGTCAGTGCCTTTGGTCATGCGCACTCTCGAAGCTGCTGCAAAAAAGGACATGACACGGCATGTCTCATTGGAATGAGCATGACATGCCGCTCATTGGACCCACGTGATACAGCCCCAAATGTTAGCACGCTGTCTTAGCTAATGCATTGCGTGGATAGGACGCAGCCGAGTCGGGTGCATGCAAGTGAAGTGCATACAGTTCAAGTCCGTTTACTTCAGATCTATTGAATGCCAATGAAGTGTATAGAGTTGACCGCAAGCGCATGGCATTCAACTCAACACACTTGAACGCCATGCAGTTCAAGTGCATACACATCCAGTGTACAAGTGCAGTATATATACACTTGTCCAAGTGCATACAGTTCGAGCGCACAGAGTCAAGTGCATAGACTCAATGCACGGCAAATCGATGCTTTCGGGCCAATCGTCTTCTAGTTCTGTAAGGGTTTGGGGTGTTCCCCCGTATACTAACGCTCCTTAATGGGGATTATATTACCCCTATTCTAGTCCGTATGAAGGACTGTTACACTGCTAGTGCTGCAAAAAAACATCCCAGTGTAGGGGGGTTGTTCAAACACATGGAGTCTTCCTGCATGAGGGGTACCTTCTTGGGGTCCTTAGTATATAGCAGGTTGGAACCCTGTGCCCTTCGTGTGGTCCCTTACCCTTGTTTAAGGGGATTTAAAGGCTATATGTTCAAACACATGGAGGTTTCCTACATTGGGGGTACCTTATTGGGGTCCTTTTGTATATTGGAAGTTCTACTAGTTGGGGGTCTCTATATACTTGCAAGTATGTCTTTATTTTTGGGGCACTTTAATTCCTAAGAAAAATCTAATTTTTGCCAGGGTTCCAAGTTCAGTATATATTAGGGGTCCCTTATTTTCGTGAACTCCCACATGGTAGCCCTGGGGTACCCATTTGCCCCCCCTTTTTTGTTTGGTTCAAGGTTCCCATATAAAGCAGCCCAAAAAAGGGTACGTACCCTTATCATGATATGGGGACCAGGAATAGCGGCCGAGTCCTGCAAAAGCTGCGGTGCCAGAGTTCTAGGATTTGCATGTCGGGCGTGTGGTTTAGGGTTTAGGGTTTAAGGTCCCACATGTCGGAGGGTTTAGGATGTCTAGGGCGGTTCAGAGGAGGATCCTGGCATTTGCCGCTACACGCGGATTTCGCTGCTTCGGGCCCCACTAGGGTTTAGGGTTAGGGTTTAGGGTCTAGGGTCTAGGGTTTAGGGTTTAGGGTTTAGGGTTTAGGGTCCCTTCTGCCAGTAGTTGCCCGCGATCTTCCGTGTACACCTTAGCACGGTGAGCGCTGCATCGCAGGTAGTTTGCCTGAGCAGTTGTGCTAGCATGCCAGGTACTGGTCCCGGGTGGGGGCCTCAGATGTAAGTCGCTCGTCCAGGGGTTTAAGCGGGTTTAGGGTTTAGGGTTTAGGGTTTAGGGTTTCGGGTTTAGGGTTTAGGGTTTAGGGTTTAGGGTTTAGGGTTTAGGGTTTGCAGTTTAAGGCAAAAAGGCTTGGCGTAGCTCATGCCTCAGCATGAAGCCGTCCCTTTTCGATGCGTGGCCGACCTCCAGGTCCAGTATGGCCGACCAAGCGAGAATCCGGAAGCCTTGTCATCCTAAACCCTAAACCCTAAACCTTAAACCCTAAACCCTAAACCCTAAACCCTAAGCCCTAAACCCTAAACCCTAAACCCTATACCCTAAACCCTAAACCCTAAACCCACGAAAAAACCCACACCGCCTAGTAGGGCTGATAGGCTCCAGCATGTCGAGGCTTGGGGTAAGCTGGCGCCTTCAGCTTCGTGCATGAGTCTCAAGGGATTCAGACTCGGACCCCTAAGGTGGTACCCCTAAAGGTTCCCCTTAATATACTCCTAATATGGCCCTTATATTCCCTTAGGGATCCTTTAAAAGGGATCCCAAAACCCAAGGACCTTAAGGGTCCAAGGTAGAACCCCTAGAGAGTCTGCTTCGGGTGTGCCGAGGTGACGCCTGGGAACGTGGCTCGGGCCCTGGATCCTTTTTTAGCATTCAGGGCATGGGGCTTAGGGTTTCTTTGAAGGGTTACGGTTAGCCCTAAACCCCAAACCCTTAACCCTTAACCCTAAACCCTAAACATCAAGTCGCAGCAGTAAGAGAAGATGAGCGAAGATAAGCAGATGCCTGATGGTTCAAGGTACAGGCGCTGAGAGATCAACCGTTCCATGAAACAGACAGAATATTTAGTGGACCCTCAACCTGAACTTAGTGGTTCGGCAACAAAAAGAAAGGACTTCCGAGCGAAGGGTCTACCTTGCGATGCCCGATATACGGGGAAGTATATAGGCTTCCCCGCAATCCCGAGCAAGAACCGAACACCCTGAACCCTAAACCCTACCACCAGGAGTGCAAACCAGTCGCAATGACTTGCTGTTGCTTAGCAGGGAACAAGGGAATTAGGGCCTTCTATACCCTTTAAGGGATTCTATAGGGTACCTCATTCCCCCTACTGACCAAAAAAGTAAGATGAGGCGCTGATTGTGGACAAGATCACTGGGAGGTGTGATGATTGGCCGCCTGAGCCCCAGGTGCCCAAAAAACTCCCTAAACCCCTAAACCTCCTAGGTAGGAGAAGGGGGGGCCTTGAAAGGGAACCTTCTGAACCCTCTTCGGGCTCTCTTAAAACGGGACCTTATTCAGAGGGTCTATATCCCCAAGGGTCCCCCTAATCCTGCCTCCTAAACCCCAGCGCAGGGGTAGCAAACCCTAAAACTGAAACCCTAAACCCTAAACCTTTGCGACGATTCGTTTCAAAGCTCTTTGGAGCCCAAACCCTTAACCTTGACCCTAAACGCTAACCCTAACCATAAACCGTACCCTGCCAGATTTCTGCCCACCAAAACATTTTCCTAGTGCCTTCCTCGGGGTCCTCAAGTTACCGGCCTTTGTCCACATCTTCCTGACTTCCACCTTTGTTTACGTTTTTTGGGCGGAGCTTTGGAGGGGGGGGGGGGGGTGGGGTTTAGGGCAGTGGAGGGCTTGGGGTTTAGGGTTTAGGGTTTAGGGCTTAGGGCTTAGGGCTTAGGCTTAAGAGGACCTTGAAATGTGTAGGACGTGGGGCCAGTCGCAGCCTGGCAGCTCCTCCCCAACGCCAATTTCCTCAGAAGCCGCAAGCCCCAAGCCTGTCGACTCCCGAGATTTATTGGATTACAGGGTGTAGGGGGGGTTCAGGGTTTACAGGGAAACCCTAAACGCTACGTAAACCCTAAACGGTTTATGGCTTAGGGCTTCGGGTTTAGGGCTTGAGGGCTTAGGGTAGGGCTCATGATCGGCGTATCGTCAAGGCCAGAAGCATGGGCGTTGAAGGGGGAACACGTGTCTCAAGCTCAAGCATGAATGATTTCTATGGAGCTTTAACCACGATAGCCCTCCGAAGTCTTGTGTGTAAGGCCCCTACAAGCCAAGCCCATGTACCCTAAACCCCAAACCCCGAACCCCAAACCCTAAACCCTAAACCCCAAACCCTAAACCCTAAACCCTAAACCCTAAACCCTGAACCCTGAACCCTGAACCCTGAACCCTGAACCCTGAACCCTGAACACTTACCTTTGTTTCTTGCATGAATTGCGCGCGGCCCCCAGATCTTGCAGCAGAAACCCTGGACCAGTTATTGCTGGCCCTAGGTAGGTCGAGGCGGCTACTGCTCAACCAAAGCCTAGCACTTGAACTTGAAACCCTCAAGTAGCCCTAAACCCTAAACACAACGCTAAACCCTAAACCCCAGACCCTAAACCCTAAACCTTTAGGCAGCGTATAGGACTGAGGGTCGACGTCTCCGGATGTAGGCAAACCCTCAAATCCACTCCGTACAACTCTCTGGCGCCCCTTGGGACACTTGGAGGTTTAGGGTTTAGGGTTTAGGTTTAGGGTTCCAAGGATAATTGTGCTTATAGCCCACTTATCAGCCCCTTAAGTGCCCTAAGATGGTTATAAGTACAGTTATGATGGGTTAATAAGTACCATGAACCTCCAAGCAGGTCTGCTTGCAAGAAGTTCGACTGGCGCCTGGCCCAAGAACAGCTGCCCAGGGAGGTTTAGGGTTTAGGGGCCACCCTACACCCTAAACCCTTAAACCCTGAAGCCCCCTATGCCGGGTTTAGGGGGTTCATGCTGATTCGTAAGAGCCTTATCCCAAAATCTTGGACCCATGACCCCAATGTTGTCATCCTTATCTATAGCCCCCCCCCCACCCCCCTTCCACCACCTCAATATGATATCCCTGGGCACAGGAATCCCCAAGAAGGTTTCCCCTATTTTGGGGGATGCTACAACCCTAAAACCCAAACCTTACACCCCAAAACCCTGAACCCCCAACCCCGCACCCGGAAGTTCTTAGGGTTTAGGGTTTAGGGTTAGGGTTAGGGTTTAGGGTGTAGGGTTAGGGTTTAGGGTCAAAGGTTTTGTTCTCAGATGTGTTTGGTCTGTGCCTCGGCCTTTGAAAGAACCGCGAAGAGACGGCCAGAGGCTTGAACGTGATGAGGGCTTTGGGTTGTGGGCTTATTGGGTTTAGGGTTTAGGGTTTAGGGTTTAGGGTTTAGGGTTTAGGGTTTAGGCTTGGAGTGGATAGCGAGGGACCCTTACGACGACAAGGGGCTTTAGTAATAGGGGTAATGTAGGGGCCACTTAGGTATAGAGGGACTGTTTATACAAGGTCACACAAAAAAATGGAATCTCTGAGGGGGTCCGAAATGGCGCCCCCCCCCCCCCCC